TGTGTGCGTGTGTGCGTGCATGTGTGCATCTGTGTGTGTGCATCTGTATCTGTGTGCGTGTGCATCCGTGTGCGCGTGCATGCGTGTATGCATCTGTGCATGTGTGTGCATCTGTGTGCGTATCCATGTGTGCGTGCATCCTTGTGTGCTTACGTGTGTGTGTACATCCGTGTGTGTGTGTGTGTGTGTGTGTGTGTGTGTGTGTGGTGGGGGAGGTCGCTGTATTTGCTGGGCTTTCCCTGAGAGTCAGCTGGTGCCCAGGTCTGCCAGGCCTGGCTCAGCTTGTTTCCTCGGACTGGACGCACCTCAGGCCTGACAGTTCGCCTTCGAGCTGCGCCTCCATCAGGAAACCACCTCCTGTTGCATTTCCCACCAGGACTCAGAAAACAGCATCGTCTTGGTAGAGGGTCTTGAGTTCAAATCCTCACTGCCTCGGAGTCACTGAAGGGCCCTGGCACCTCCCTTCCGTCTCCCCTCTGGGACACGGGGTTGTGCAGATCCAATGGGGCAACACCCATCCCCAGGTCTGACGCAGGAGGCTCAGCACGTGGAGGCTGAGGTTGGAGAGAGTCACAACCACAGGCGAGGGCTGGCCCTCCCCCTCAAGCCCCCGTCGCGTGCTGCAGACTTACAGACACAGCTCCACCGGTGTCTGTCACCGCATTACCCACAGGACCACCTCTCTGAGCTGTCCCCAGCCACAGAGGCCTGCTGAGTCAGACCGAGATCCCCTCCATCCTGTCAGCCACCACTGTCTCCCCTCAACCCTCTGTCTCCCCCAGCACACTGGGCAATTCAAACACGCATTCTCACAGTACAATAAGTACCACTACTCCCAATTTAGGAAACTGAGGCTCATGAGGCATGATTCACCCACATTGATAGCAGGAGCTGCAGAAGTGGGACTAGACGCAAGGGTCCTGACACCCAGCCCAGAACGCCCAGCCGGGCCTCATGGGAGGGCTGTGCCTCAGAGCCATCTGCAGCGCGCCTGCGCCGGACCACCCAGCCACGGTCCCCCCGCCTCGATCCTCTACACGGAGCCTCATCAACTCCACCCCGAACCTCACGGTCAGCTGAGCCCATCTCTCTCCCTCACCCTTCATCTCTAATAACAAGAACGGCCAACAGGCCTTGAGCACTACTGTGTGCTGGAAACTAAACATTTCTTTTCTTTTCCTTTTTTTTTTTTTTTTTCGAGATGGAGTCTTGCTCTGTCACCCAGGCTGGAGTGCAGTGGCGCCATCTCAGCTCACTGCAACCTCCACCTCCCGGATTCAAGTGATTCTCCTGCCTCAGCCTCTCGAGTAGCTGGGACTACAGGCACCCGCCACCACGCCCAGCTAATTTTTTGTATTTTTAGTAGAGACGGAGTTTCACTGTGTTAGCCAGGATGGTCTCGATCTCCTGACCTTGTGATCTGCCCACCTCGGCCTCCGAAAGTGCTGGGATTACAGGCATGAGCCACTGCACCCGGCCTCTATTTTTTTTCTGAAACGTTGTCTCTGTCTTCTAGGCTGGAGTGCAGCGGCACAATCTCAGCTCACTGCAACCTCCGACTCCTGGGTTCAAGCGATTCTCTTGCCTCAGCCTCCCAAGTAGCTGGGATTACAGGTACGCACCACCATGCCTGGCTAAATTTTGTATTTTTAGGAGAGATGGGGTTTCACCATGTTGGCCAGGCTGGTCTTGAACTCCTGATCACAAGTGATCTGCCCACCTTGGCCTTTCAAAGTGCTGGGATTACAGGTGTGAGCCACCGCGCCCGGCCAGGAAACTAAACGTTTCTCATGAGTGTCTCCTCCTCCCCACGTCTGCCTTCCCCAGGACCTGTGGATGGGACCGAGGCAGAAGCCTCCTTACGGGCCTCTCCCCCAGATTCCAACTAACACTCAACATACAAGTCTGTCGACACCCCGCTCAAGACCTGTGGCTCCCCACTGCCCTCAGCAGGAATTCCAAGCTCCCCCAGGCCGGCACTCAGGTCCCCACATTCCTCACCCGCCGCTGTGGGCCTCTCGGGCTTGGATGCCCGCATTCCTCCACTCACACCACACCTGCCCCATGCAAGGGGACCTCCCAGAGATGGGCAGGGATGTGGGGCTCCCACACAGCCCACACTCCCCCAGCCAGCTCTCCCACACACACTGCACTCTGCTGGCATTTCACCTTTGCTTGGGCCGCCCCTCGGCCGGGAGTGCCTTTTCCCTACCCCCGTGTTGTGAGACGCTGCTGGGGCTGGAGAGGCTACTGTGTGCACAGCCTGCCTTCTCTTCACACAGGGCGCCAGGACAGGGGTGGCCTTGCCTCTGCCCGCACCTCCAGGCCCCAGCATGTCCCGATTTGGGGCGGGGCTGGAAGGGAAAGCAACACCAGAGGAGACGGCCTTCCACTCCCACTCACACTTCGCCTCCATCTTCCTACCAACCAGACTCCTCACACCCCAGGGCTTGGTGCCTCCTATTCCCCCTGCAGAGAAGGCCCCTCTGCTCACCCCCAGCCTGTACTTGCCAAGGACCTCCCCATCCTTCAGACCCCACCTCAGATGCCACAGTCTCCCACTCCCCAAGGACGGAGGTTTTCTATCACGCACAGGCCTGGGGTGATGCCCCGGCAGAGCCCCAGGCCTCAGCCCGAGTGTGTGCCACCAGCAGAGTGGGCCCTGGACTTCCGGTTCCTTCTTCTTCACCCCTGTAAGGCTTTGGAGGCTGACAGGACAGGCCTCTTCACGCAAGGGTGCAAGGGTGGAAACCCAACCTCTGAGACCCAGGATGGAGAAGTGAGTTGATGTTGTGATTGCAGAATGAGTCAGGGGTGAAGACGGACTTGAGGACGGCAGGTCACAGGGTAACAAGGCATGATGGGGCTGGTGGTCAGGCTGTGGGCAGTTCCAGGATTTCACGGTCTGTCTGCACCCGACTCTTCTAAAATCTCCCTTAGACAATTGCTATTATTCCATCTGCTCTCACGAATAACAAGAAGTAGGCATCACCAGAGCGGGTGGCCTGGAGAGGGTGGAAGGTCAGCGCCAGGCCAGTCCTGGATTCTCTCCAGCCTAAGGAGCCCTGGCCCGGCATGGGATTCAGGGTGCTGGGCCTGGGCCACTGTCTGAGGGAGTCTTTCCTGCCAGCAATTCCCAGGCATTTTCTTTCTCAGGCTCTCCTCAGCCCCGAAGACTCAACGCCACCTCACCTTCTCCAGGAAACTCTCCCGGACTGGTCCGTCCCAGTCTCAGGACCTCACAGCGTGGGGCAGAACTGCAGCAGCTTCGTTTCTGCCACCCACACTGGAGCTGCTGGGGCCCTGCTCTCGACCCCTTCCCATGGCTGAGCTGAGCTGTGGGCTAGGTGGCCTCGTGGCAAGTCTGCTCCATCATTGCTCTCTGCTGCCCATCAGCTCGGGAAGGGCCTAGGCCTCCGAAGAGGGTTGATCAATGCCACCTGCGGGAAGAGGCACTGAGGTGATGAGTGGTGGCCCCAGAGGCTGCAGGAGACAGATGAGCCACAGGAGGATTCTGGAGCTGGGAGGCAGGACAGAGGCCTGGGCCTGAGCCCCGTGTCTATTGTCAGTTGCTTGCAAGCCTGGGTAGTCACGGTCCCCTCTGTGACCCAGTCACCTCCTCTGTACTGGGAGAGGGTAGACAAGAGTCTAGTCTAAGCATCTGCTCCAGGTATTCTTGGTAATGGGAGATCAAAGCCACAAGCCATAAAAACAGACTCCCTACACCCCACATGGAACTAAAAACAGAGAAGTCTAAATTGTAAAATAAAAGGAAGTTCAACAAACTGTTGATCTTTCCGTGGTGACTATTCTGATGTTCTTGAAATATAAAATATTATATTTTATATTTAAATATAAAATATTTATAGTTGGGAGGCCGAGGCAGGTCGATCACCTGAGGTCAGGAGTTTGAGACCAGCCTGGTCAACATGGTGAAACCTCGTCTCTACTAAAAATACAAAAATTAGCCGGGCGTGGTGGCACGAACCTGTAATCCCAGCTACTCTGGAGGCTGAGACAGGAGAATTGCTTGCACCTGGGAGGCAGAGGTTGCAGTGAGCCAAGATCCAGCCTGGGCTCCAGCTGGGGCAACAGAGCAAGACTCTGTCTCAAAAAATAAAATGAATATAAAATATTAAAATCTGTCCAAAACCGTGACTTGCTGGTACCCTACACCTTGTGGCCTGCTTCCTGGGTGATCTGGCCCCATGTGGGATGCTAATCCAATTCTCCCGCCAACCTCCTGAGCGGGGGCAGGAGGTCCATGGGAAGTCCGCTCAGATCACCAGGCAGGACCACCCTGGCCTCCCGCCTGGTCTTAGCAGCCTCCAGGGGCTCACCTGACTGTGCTGTCTCATCCCTGGGGGCCCACGAAAGGATTGTGGCTTGGCTTTTGCCCAGAGGCTTCCATGGGACAGTTTAAAGGCTAAAACGGGACCCCCCCCCCCAGGCAGCAGAAGTGCCTCCCCCACCCCACATACCAGTTTTCACCCTGGCCCGACAACACAGGAAGCAGGCTCCCCGCCAACACGCTCGCCCTCTACATACAGACACTTGCCCCCGGTCTCTCGTCGACCCTCTCTCACAGGGTCCGCACCCTCATCAGCCCAACCCCTGCTCTGTCACAGAACGGAGCTCTGCCAGGCGGAGCCTCCATACTCAGAGAACAAACTACAGAGGCGAGCACCTGCCCCAAGTGGGTGCCACGGGGGGAGGGCTTAGGTGGTCGGGGGAGGCTGGCTGGAGAAGGAACCGAGTGGCAGAGCCCTGGAGTCTGAAGGCCCTGGCTGTTAGAACTGTCAACACAAAGCGTCCGCCGCCCTTCCCAACAAGCCTGGGCACCTGACCCACCCAGCAAGACCACTCTCCTGGAGGAGCTCCCACCCCAACCTCTGGCTCGAACTGAGCCCCATCAGACAGACAGTCAAGGCTGTGGTCTGCAGACATCTGGCTGGAGCTGAGGGCACCGCAGCCCCTCAAGGCAGCGGGTGAGGACTTACTGGCCATGCAGAGCAGCGTGTGAACGAGCCACATCCTAGCTGGAGCTGGAGCAGAGGCAGCTGTGTGGGAGCCGAGGCAAGTGAGACACATGGGCCGTGGCCCACTCAGCTTCCCCTCAGCCAGGAGGCCAGGAGGCGGGGACAGAAGCACACACACCAGCAACGACCCACAGGCAGATAGGCACTTTTAATCAGACAGAGACACTCCGGCTCATACACAACCAGCCGTGTGGCTTCCTCAGTTGTGGGCTGGACCCTAGGAGCTTCGGGACCACTGTCAGCCCCACTCTCCCACCCACACTTTGATGGAATGGGGAGCTGAGGTGTGGCCAGGGCCGCAGTTCTGGGTGTCCTCAGCAGAGCCGGAGGTGCAGGAGCAACATGAATCCAGCCTGCCGTCCATATCCCTTTGAGTCGGTCCCTGTCCGGCCTCAGAGCCTACCACCAGACATCTCAGCCCAGCTTCCAGCCCAGGGTCCTCAGTGGTGGTTGCCTCAGCACTGAGACAGGGGTCCTCCTCCCATAGGAAGTGCCCCCCCGAGTCAAAAACTGGGCTCCTGTACCAGCCCATGCACTCGAGACCCTGGGGCTCTGGAGGGCCAGGTGAGTGGAATCACCGCCTCGATTCAACGCTGGCTGCATTCGTCCTCTTTAAAACCACGAGGACAGCATCCTGATGCGGAAACTGATTGAACAGGACTCTGAGTTACCAGAGTAACAGAAGTAGTAAAATTCTATCCATCTTCCAACACACCTCTGATCCATCCCAGCATTCCACAGAACACGCCATTGACAGTTTGCGGTCGTATTTAACTGCTGTCAAATCTGTACTGTGTGACCAAGTCTGTGAGATGGACGGAACTGTCTCCTGCTTCCCTGCTCCCCAGGCTGCTGGGAGCGCAGAGCGGTGCCGTCACACAGAACTCTCCGCAGGGATGGAACTGTTCTAGGTCAACACTGTCCAGGACGGTACTTACGAGCCACATATGGTACTAAACCCTTAAAATGTCACCAGAACAACTGATGAACTGAATTTTCTATTTTATTTAATTAAATTTAAAAAGGCAGGCCATTCCAAGTCTCTCTCACATGAGTGTCTGCAGCCCCAGGGAGGGAACTCTGAAAAGTGAATGTGTTAACACAGAGTGGACAATGGTGTTGACTTCATTACTAGATAAAAATCCACGTTATTTTGTTTCTCGCATGGAAAGGTTGCTCGGCTAAGGTTCTGTGAAGATCCGATGACATTTCCAACACTCTGCCTTGTCTGCTTTGCTGACAGAATGCTTATGACTACTAGATCTTGCTCGGTGATGTGAGATTACAAGTCACCGGTTTTCATCCTGCATGAAACAGAAGTTAAACAGCAGGGAAGTTAACCAGCTGTAAAAGCAAAATTCCAGGTCTGGTGGTTTTCCTGCCAGGTCATGATGAAACCATCCTACTTCTGTTGAACCTTGTCCCAGGCGGGGTCGGGACCTGTGGCCCACAGCCTGTCTTCCCAGCGCTTCAGGGCTCGTGCCCTCCTCCCCCGTCACTTCATTCTGAGCTCCAAGGGCACCGGGGAGAGTCACAGGGGTCTCCTCTCCCCAGCACTGGCCTAAAGTGGGAAGAGAGCAGCCCAGTCATTGTGCAGATCCCCGGAAGGGCAGGGCCAGAACCCAGACTGCAGCTCACTGATTCCTGAGAGAAGCCTTTGTGTTTGGAGTGTGAACGGCAGGGTGCCTCGGAGAAGCCAGGAAAAGCTGATGATTGGCTGCCGGACAGGGAGTAGGGCCATTTCTGTACCTTTGCAGACTTCTAGAACGCTGACTCATCCTGCATCCATCCAACATGTATTTATCCAAGCGTCAGTGCCTCTGGTCATGAGACACACAGGGGTCCGCAAAGCCCTGCTGACGGTAGCTGCTCTCCCCACAAACCCAAACTGCACCCCCAAGGTCAGCGGGCTGTGTTGAGTAATGCTCCCCGTCACAGCAGCACCTCGCACAAGGCTGGGTGTTTGGCAAATACGTACATAACCAAAACACACGTGAATGTGGTTTGCCAACTCACGTTAAACAAATATTCCGGGACCAACTCGAGGGACACAACGGAAACTGGACTGTACCCTTCACAAACATCCGTGTCATGAAAGACAGAAAGGCTGAGGACCTGCTCCAAATGACAGCAGGCTGCGGACAGGATAACTAAAGGCAGCGCCTGATCCTGGATTGGATCCTGAACCAGAAAAACAACGGCTTTCAAAATCGTGATTGGGACGGTTGGCACATCTGAAACTTGAACGACAAATGAGCAACTCTTGGGCCGATCAGAGTATGACACATTTCCCAACTTTGACAGCTGTACCATGGACAAGTGAGAGGCTGTCCCTGTTCTTGGGAAGCGTTCACTAAAACATCTTATGGATAAACGAGCATGATGTATACAAATAACCCTCAAATGATTCACGGTTCAGAGAGGACAGGAAGAAAAAGAGGTGAGGGAAGAAAGAGGGAATGAATGAAAGAGAAAACGTGGCAAAATGTTCTTTGTGGTACCCTTGAAACTGCTGTGATTTTGAAATGATTTCAAAACAAAGTTTTATGTATTTTTTTTTTTTTTTTTTGAGACGGAGTCTCGCTGTGTCTCCCAGGCTGAAGTGCAGTGGCGTGATCTCGGCTCACTGCAATCTCCGCCTCCTGGGTTCACGCCATTCTCCCGCCTCAGCCTCCCAAGTAGCTGAGACTACAGGCGCCCGCCACCGCGCCCGGCTTTTTTTTTTTTGTATTTTTAGTAGAGACGGGGTTTCACCATGTTAGCCAGGATAGTCTCGATCTCCTGACCTCGTGATCCACCCGCCTCGGCCTCCCAAAGTGCTGGGATTACAGGCTTGAGCCACTGCGCCCGGCCAGTTTTATGTATTTTTTAATGTTTTTCTTTCCCCCCTTGATACCAGGAAGAATAAAGTTTTTAAAATGGCCAGGTGCGGTTATAGTCACAGTTACTTGAGAGGCTCAAGCTACTTGGGAACACTTGAGCCCAGGAGTTTGAGTCCAATTAGACAACATAGTGTGAACCTGTCTCTTTAAAAAAAAGTTGCAAAAATGTCCACGGATGGAGGAGACGTGCTTGGTGTCAGGTGAAAGGGCTGTCGATCAGGCACTGTGGCTCACGCCTGTAATTCCAGCACTTTGGGAGGCCGAGGTGGGTGGATCGCCTGAGCTCAGGAGTTTGAGACCAGCTTGGGCCACATGGTGAAACCTTGTCTTTACTAAAAATACAAAAAATTAGCCGGGTGTGGCCGCGTGCGCCTGTAGTCCCAGCTTCAGGAGGCTGTGGCAGGAGAATTGCTTGAACCTAGGAGGTAGAGGCTGCAGTGAGCCGAGATTGCACCACTGCACTCCAGCCTGGGCGACAGAGCAAGACTTTGTCTCCAAAAAAAAAAAAAAAAAAAAAAACAGAAAGGCCTGCCTGCTGTCTTCAGAGTGAGTCAAAAGCACTGAGGCACAGTCTTCAGAGGCAGGAAATGGTTCTATTCCCCCACTTGCCTTCTGAGTCTTAGGAAGCCAGAAAGAGTGACGACATTGCTGAGACCAGAGCCTAGGGCTGCAGAGCAGTGGTACTCACGGCCTTTGACTGAGCGCTCAGTAGGACCGCCCTGCTCAGTGCCAAGGCCTCACACGCGAGCCCTGATCGGAGCCTCTCAGCCACCTACAAGGTCAACCCGATTCCTCAGATGAGGATGCTGCCTCCGAGAGGCCACAGCAGGAAGGAGCAGAGCTGGGACTCCAAACAGGTCTGCTTCCTCCAGAATCACGATTCTGAGCCACCACAAACTCTCTTGCCTTCAGCTCTATTGGTGTGTGAACTTTCTGTTTTTTGAGACGGAGTCTTGCTTTGTCGCCCAGGCTGGAGTGCGGTGGTGCTTTCTCGGCTCACTGCAACCTCTGCCTCCTGGGTTCAAGCGATTCTCCCGCCTCAGCCTCCCCAGCAGCTGGGACTACAGGCACCCGCCACCACACCCGGCTCATTTTTGTATTTGTAGTAGAGACGGGGTTTCACCAGTTGGCCAGGCTGGTCTCAAACTCCTGACATCAGATGATCCCCTGCCTTGGCCTCCCAAAGTGCTGAGATTACAGGCGTGAGCCACTGTGCCCAGCTAGGTGGTGTGTAAACTTTAAAAAAGCAGAGATTTCTTCCCACAAATGCAGACTGGGATCTCCACATGGCCAGGTGCTGTGGACTGAACTGTAAATGCCCTCCAAATGCAGACTGGGATCTCCACATGGCCAGGTGCTGTGGACTGAACTGTAAATGCCCTCCAAATGCAGACTGGGATCTCCACATGGCCAGGTGCTGTGGACTGAACTGTAAATGCCCTCCAAATGCAGACTGGGATCCCCACATGGCCAGGTGCTGTGGACTGAACTGTAAATGCCCTCCAAATGCAGACTGGGATCTCCACATGGCCAGGTGCTGTGGACTGAACTGTAAATGCCCTCCAAATGCAGACTGGATCTCCACATGGCCAGGTGCTGTGGACTGAACTGTAAATGCCCTCCAAATGCAGACTGGGATCCCCACATGGCCAGGTGCTGTGGACTGAACTGTAAATGCCCTCCAAATGCAGACTGGGATCCCCACATGGCCAGGTGCTGTGGACTGAACTGTAAATGCCCTCCAAATGCAGACTGGGATCCCCACATGGCCAGGTGCTGTGGACTGAACTGTAAATGCCCTCCAAATGCAGACTGGGATCTCCACATGGCCAGGTGCTGTGGACTGAACTGTAAATGCCCTCCAAATGCAGACTGGGATCCCCACATGACCAGGTGCTGTGGACTGAACTGTAAATGCCCTCCAAATGCAGACTGGGATCTCCACATGGCCAGGTGCTGTGGACTGAACTGTAAATGCCCTCCAAATGCAGACTGGGATCCCCACATGACCAGGTGCTGTGGACTGAACTGTAAATGCCCTCCAAATGCAGACTGGGATCCCCACATGGCCAGGTGCTGTGGACTGAACTGTAAATGCCCTCCAAATGCAGACTGGGATCTCCACATGGCCAGGTGCTGTGGACTGAACTGTAAATGCCCTCCAAATGCAGACTGGGATCCCACATGACCAGGTGCTGTGGACTGAACTGTAAATGCCCTCCAAATGCAGACTGGGATCCCCACATGGCCAGGTGCTGTGGACTGAACTGTAAATGCCCTCCAAATGCAGACTGGGATCCCCACATGACCAGGTGCTGTGGACTGAACTGTAAATGCCCTCCAAATGCAGACTGGGATCTCCACATGACCAGGTGCTGTGGACTGAACTGTAAATGCCCTCCAAATGCAGACTGGGATCCCCACATGGCCAGGTGCTGTGGACTGAACTGTAAATGCCCTCCAAATGCAGACTGGGATCTCCACATGGCCAGGTGCTGTGGACTGAACTGTAAATGCCCTCCAAATGCAGACTGGGATCTCCACATGACCTGGTGCTGTGGACTGAACTGTAAATGCCCTCCAAATGCAGACTGGGATCTCCACATGACCTGGTGCTGTGGACTGAACTGTAAATGCCCTCCAAATGCAGACTGGGATCTCCACATGGCCAGGTGCTGTGGACTGAACTGTAAATGCCCTCCAAATGCAGACTGGGATCTCCACATGGCCAGGTGCTGTGGACTGAACTGTAAACGCCCTCCAAATGCAGACTGGGATCTCCACATGGCCAGGTGCTGTGGACTGAACTGTAAATGCCCTCCAAATGCAGACTGGGATCTCCACATGGCCAGGTGCTGTGGACTGAACTGTAAATGCCCTCCAAATGCAGACTGGGATCTCCACATGGCCAGGTGCTGTGGACTGAACTGTAAATGCCCTCCAAATGCAGACTGGGATCTCCACATGGCCAGGTGCTGTGGACTGAACTGTAAACGCCCTCCAAATGCAGACTGGGATCTCCACATGGCCAGGTGCTGTGGACTGAACTGTAAATGCCCTCCAAATGCAGACTGGGATCTCCACATGGCCAGGTGCTGTGGACTGAACTGTAAATGCCCTCCAAATGCAGACTGGGATCTCCACATGGCCAGGTGCTGTGGACTGAACTGTAAATGCCCTCCAAATGCATATGTTGAAGCCCTAACCCGCCGTGTGGCTCTTCTTGGAGATACGGCTTTCAGGAAGTAATTAAGGTTAAATGAGATCATAATCCAGTAAGAGTGGTGGCCTTACAAGGGCCGTGTGCAGGCACCAAGAAAAGCCCACGTGAGTAAGACAGCGAGAGGGCGCCCACCATGTTGGCATCCTCTGGCCTCAGATCTGTGGGGGACTGAGGGGGTGATGGGACAGGGAGAGAACAAGGAGTGGATTCTCTTGTCTTTTCTTAGAGCTAAGTGTCTGGGAGTGGGAGGGCTGCACTGGGTGCTGGGACCAAGGGTACAGGGGCTTGGATCTCTCGTTTACAAGCCCCTACTTCTTTCCTGCTGTCTAACCCATACTCCTGAAACCCCTGATGCTCCCTGGAAAGGAGAGCAAGGGTCCTCAAACACACATTAGCACTAGAAGGAAACTGGAGCTCATCCCAGTTGAGCCCTCCATTTGACAGACAGGGAAGCTGAGGCCCAGGGAGGTGAGGGGACTTGCTCTGTCTTTCCAATTGAGTATGTGGGGCAGAAGGAGTCCCAGGGTCCCGGCCCCAGCTGCCGTCCTATTTGACTTTCCCCAACAGGCATTCTACCTGAGCTAAAAGATGCTGCCTGCCTCTCACAGGCCCTCTGAGGAGAAGATGGCCACATCACAGGATTGAAAACTACCACGAAAATCCTAGGAAGGGAAAGGAAGATGAGAATTCTTTTTTTTTGAGACGGAGTCTCACTCTGTCACCCAGGCTGGAGTGCAGTGGCGCAATCTTGGTTCACTGCAACCTCTGCCTCCCGGGTTCAAGTAATTCTCCTGTCTCAGCCGCCCAAGTAGCTGGGACTACAGGTGCCCGCCACCATGCCCAGCTAATTTTTGTATTTCTAGTAGAGACGGGGTTTCAGCATGTTAGTCAGGCTGGTCTCGAACTCCTGACCTCAGGTGATCCACCCACCTCGGCCTCCCAAAGTCCTGGGATTATAGGCAGGAGCCACCGCGCCCCGCCTGATAATTCTCTTCTGCCACTGGTGTGGGCCTCTCGACCTCGCTAACCTACGCCGGCCCAGAGGTGAGGGTGACAATTTGAGGTAACACAAAGTCTCAACTATTTAAGAATCTGGTCATCCAGAGAGGGCCCCTGGAATTGCTCAAATGAACAGGTAAGAATCCCGAGGCAGGGTACTGACCTTGGTAGGCGAAATACAACCTGTACTCTCGAGTGTTATTGACAATACAGCAAAATTCCACGTTGATGCCTCACAACTACTTAAAACAGGCTTTTTGAAGCAGCATTTCCCTAACCACTCCCAGTAACAAAGTTCTGTGAAATGTTCAGAGAGTTTCATCGGGAAAAAAAAAAAAAAAAAGGAAAAAAAGCTACAATATTTCTTCTTCTAAGATTTATTTTATAAACACGTAAGAAAAGTTCTAGATATTTATTGCGGGTCTGGTGATGCAGTAACAATCTGGCTTGACGCAAGTGTGCCATTCTCAGTATCAAAAGCATTCTCTTCTTTTAGTTCGTAAAAGAAAAAAACATGGTTTAACTTCTAATTATTAACTTCTTGTTATTATAAGGTTTAAAAGCAATTACTGGACTTAGGTATCAAACTTATTTGTGTAGCAACTAATTCACCCGTGAAGCCAGAGTTTGCCGTGGCTTCACAGCAAATTTTGACTTAAATCTAAAGTGCGTGTTAGCATCTCACCATCACTTAATGCTTCGAGTGAGAAGTTTGAGGAATGCTGCTTTAGGCAAAACAGCCACTGCAGGAATGAGCTCTGTTCTTTTCACCTGCTCTGGACTGCCGTCACTTTCCTCACCAACAGGACCACAGGCTTCAGAACTGGCTCAGCCGTCCTTCTTTGGGGCCTACTGCCTGCCTGCCAGCTTCCTCTACGTCTATCCTGGGACAGATGAATCCTTTTCTAAAAAACATTTTGGACTATCTGCATGATTCCCTAGCAAACGCTTTAGAGAGCCTGGTCAGCTTCAGCTCCGACATGGCCGTATCATTAAAATGTGAAGTTTACTCAGGTCTATTTAATGAGATTTTTTTTTCTTATACAAGCATATGCACCTCTGAATAATTAATCGTCCCTTTTTCGAATCTGGGGCTCTCATCTAGAATCAGACTAACCCGCAGACAGTGATGCCGGAGCTGGGCTGCGTTACCACAGTTCATTCAGTTACCAAACACTCTCGCAGCACTGCTCACTCTGGGCTGGCCTGACGGAAGCATACGGAGACACCACCACAAAGAACCTGGCTCATCAGGAGCTTGCTTACTGGCTAGAAAGGAAAATACAACATGAAAATAAAGCATTGTACGCACACGGCAGAAAAATGACTAGCCTGTCAGTGGGCCCCAGAGCCTCAGAGGATGGAGCCATTCCTGAGGCTGGAGGGTTTTACAGATTCATCCCATCTTTACACAAGACCTGCTGGATGCCAGGCACGCTGGCAGGCACCGGGGAAAGCCCAGTGAACAAGCAGACATGGTCCCTGCTCGCACGGAGCTTACAGTCTAGCAAGACAAACTCGGAACAAGAAATCACAGTCCAGTGTAGAGGTGTGCGGGGTTACAGGGTACAGTGATGGGGCATTATACACACATTTCACTTAAACACAATGGTATGTGTCTGAAAAACTTTGTAAAAAAGAAAAACAAATCAGTTGTTTGGGCCATTCCGCTGGCCCCTCCTTCACTCCGTGGGCACAGACAGGAGGGCGGGCGCGGGCAAGCTCACGCCTCTGCTGCCCCCGCGGCCTGCCTCGCTTCCCAAGCTCCCCAAAAGTGGCCTTCTCGCCTACGTGTGCTTCTAACACCTAAAAACAAGTGGTTTTTGCACAACTCAGCCCTAACTGCAGGCCAGTCACTTCACCTGGTACTCATCCAAACAGTAATCTGTTCCCACATGGGCAAGAAATGACTACATGGGACCTCAAGATGTTGGTCTTCAACATGGCACCTTCCTTAGATTTCTAAGAGGAATTTCAGTTACCCTCCATTTTCACCTTAGACACTGACCTTAGAACTGAATCCTGGAGAGAGCCAAGACTCTTCTGCGGCAGCGCCATGGGACACAGAGAAGGAGCCTAGACCCTGGCTCTGGAAGCTGGGGATTGCCTCCTAGGAGGGGCCCTAAGACCCTAAGTTGGTGAGGGGAACACTGAGGCGGGAGGGGGAGAAGCCTGGGGGGAAGTATTTCGCTGGAGGTAGAAACAGTTCTGTGCACGGTCTGGAGGGCTAGTGAGATCGAGATGCATTCAGGGAACTGGTGAGCAGAGGGCAGGGGAGATGGGGAGAACAGGCCAGGGACACTGCCAGAGGACAGACCTTGGCGAGCCTTATAAAAAGCTATCAAAAAGGGTGGAATTGATGTGTGTACGTATTTTTTGAGACAGGTCTTGCTCTGCTGCCCAGGCTGGAGTGCAGTGGCTTAATCATAGCTCACTGCAGCCTTGAATTCCTGGGCTCATGCGGTCGGGAGTGTGGAATTTCTTCTCAGTGCAATAGTGAAGCTTTGGAAAAGTTTCACGCAGAAGAATAATCGAAGCAGATTTATATTTAAGAAAGTTCATCCTGAAGCATGTGAAAAGGTGCCCAACATCATCAGTCACTAGGGAAATACAAATAAAAAACCACAATGAGGGCCAGGCGTGGTGGCTCATGCCTGTAATCCCAGCACTTTGGGAGGGCGAGGCAGGAGGATCACTCGAGGCCACCAGCGTGAGACCAGCCTGGGCAACATAATGAGACCCCATCTGTACAAAATGTATTTTAAAAAGAAAAAATAAAAATAAAAAACTACAATGAGGTACCACTTCACACCAGAAAACAGTGAGTGTTGGTGGACATGTGGAGAAACTGGAGTCCTCACACACTGCTGGTCGGAATGGACAATGGAAAATGACGCCACTGCCTGGAAAAGCCTCCTGGCGCCTCCTCCAAAGGTTAAAGGTGATCAGGACCCAGCCACTCCACTCCTAGGCATAAACCCAAGAGTCATGAAAACACCTGTCCATGCAAAAACTTGTATGGGAATGTTCACAGCAACATTATTCATCATAGCCAAAAAGTAGGGCCAGGTGCGGGGGCTCACACCTGTAATCCCAGCACTTTGGGAGGACGAGGTAGGCGGATCACCTGAGGTCAGGAGTTCAAGACCAGCCTGACCAACATGGTGAAACCCCGTCTCTACTAAAAATACAAAAAATTAGCCAGGCGTGGTGGCACGTGCCTGTAATCCCAGCCACTCTGGAGGCTGAGGCAGGAGAATCGCTTGAACCCCGGAGGCGGAGGTTGCAGTGAGCTGAGATTATGCATTACAGCCTGGGCAACAAGAGCGAAACTCTGTCTCAAAAATAAATAAAAAAATAAAAATATATATATGTATATATAATATATATATCCCAAAAGTAGAAACTCAAATGCCCATTAACCAGTAAGTGGATTAAAAAAAAAGTGGCGTACCCATAAAATGGACTATTATTCGTTAATTTTTGAAAACGAAATACTGATACATGCTATGTGACAGGGGTGAACCCCAAAAATATGTGAAGAAGCCAGTCACAAATAGACACATAGTATATGATCCCATTTACACGAACTGTCCAGAACAGGCAAATCCAGAGAGAGAGAAGGAAGATCAGTGGTGGCCAGAGGCTAAGAGGGAAGACGGAATAGGGAGCGCTGCTAATGGGCTCAGGGTTTCTCTGGGTGATAAAAATGTTTTACAATTGATAGCAGTGCTGGTGCACAACTCTGTAAATATACTGAAAGCGACTGAAGTGTACACTTTTAATGGCTGAACTGTATGCAAATTTTATCTTAATTAAGCTGGTAACAACAACAAAGGTTCGTCCCGGCTGCGGTGTGCAGAACGGAGAAAGGGCAGAGACCAGTGAAGAGGCTGCTGTACAAGTGCAGCTGGAAAGGACAGTGGCTGAAGTACGGGGAGGGGTTCACAGGATCAGACTATAAGGGGGCCAGAGAAGGAGACTCCATCCTGCGGTGGACGCCACAAGTTCTCCTGGGTACCTGGTAACTCTCCAGAGAGGAGAGTGGGAAACAAATGAGGTATCTGCAATTACCATCAAGCAGCAAACATGGATTTAAAATCTCCTACCTATGAGACTAAGAGGGATACACAAAGTGGGTAGCCCTGTGCCCACATGTGTGGGGAGCGTCCAGGGTAAAAGCACGCCCAGCTGCCTGCCAGAGGCCTGTCCTGACTATCCATTCTCACTCCGAAACGCCAAAGAAAAGGCCTCGTCATTCAGGACACACTCAAGATGTTGCAAGATCTGAGTGACTGAGAGTGGGCTGAAGGGTTAGAGAGGCTAATAAGGCCAGTAACTCCGAGAAGTAAAATCGTCAAACCTGCCTTTCCGGGTTCTCTCTGTGTGTCTGTGAAAACTGGAGGCTACTCAAGTGTGTATTTTTCTTGGTTAGATCAAAGACCCAGTTTTGACTGCACACCACCTCCTTCCAGAATGTCTTTGCTGATCTCCAGCAAGAGACTGGTGAGTGCTGAAAGGCCATGGAACAAATGGGCCTGAGCTGCTGGTGGAAAACCAAAAGCAAAGTCTGTGAAGGGGCATATTCTAAACCCTGCAGAGGCCATGCCAGCTGGGACCCTGACCACAAGACATCTCTGCCCCATTGCAGAGACTGCTGGGATGGGAAAAGCCCCTGTCCACACCTCATGCTCGCTCTCAGTTGTCTCCTCGGCGCTTCCTCCAGCCACCTGCAATAGAAATTCACGCAGGCCAGCCCACCGCCATCACAGCTTGGGAAGAATAAACCGCCACTGAGACGCACCAACAAAGCCAGGAATTCTGGTACCAGCTCACTCAACTGCTAGATGGGAAAACTGAGGCCCAGGTCCATAGCACAGAGCCAGGGGTTGGCATCCAGGTCTCTGATTCTCAGACCCCCGCACTTCTCACTCTACCAACTCCCCAACCCCTGACCCTTCTTAAGAACCTGGCTCTCAGCCGTGTGCTTCACAGGGAAAGGAAAGCTGAGGAATCTCAGATGCCTTAAGTCTCAACTGGCGGAGAAACCAGAACCATCTCTCTCCTAGAATCCTATTAGGAAGCTGAAATATATCACAGTTATATGCTCTAATACTCTAAAGGGAGGGAGAAAAAGCAGGTTAATCAACAAAATATGGGACAATACAGTTTTTGTTGCAGCTCTCAAATCTTGCAGCCCTTTTACTTCCTTTATTAATAACAGTGTTCTGCATTCATTCGTGCCACAGTGTAATCAACTATCAATGCGACCATTAGCTCGGCCACAAGTACAGATCGCCAGGATCCAGGCTGCACTGTGTGCGGAACAGCCCAGGCAGGTGAAGAGTTGTGACATCGCAAAAAGGCCCACGGCTTACGACCAGCTCTAACTCCCATGTTCCAGCAAACCGAAGCGAAACACTGTTTCTCAAAACTGCAGAGGAATACAAAATTAAATACTACAAAACAAAAATCAGACAGCAAGAAGAAACAATCTACCTCCTCCTAATGGTAAAATAATCTGAAAGGAGCTTAAAAATAAATGAACTAAAATTTTCATAACTATTATCTTTTCTGCCAAGTTTTAGGATGTCTTCAGGTGCCACAACTTGGGGACAGAAAGAATAAATATCAATGTATCAACTTCTAGAGTGATAATAAACAACAGGACCCATCTCAGATGGATGGATTTTTTTCCTACTGGAGCCAAAAAGCAAGCTGAGCTCTATGTACAACAGACAGGCTATACAACTAGAAGCATTTAAAAATAATAAGACTCCTCTCTCTGCCTTCTTCCAAAGAATAGAATATATATTTAACAGCACAAAAGAAGACACCACTCGAGCTTCCCCTTTAGCCAACAGGAAGAACTTCCACATATAAAAATTAAAAATTTAAACTTTCAAATCATTTGTGTTTTAAACATAATACAGACTTAAAAATTCTTTAACATTAACCCATAATCCCACCCCCAGCACAAAAATCAACCCCAAATCCAGACGTCACAGTTTTTTGTTCCTAAAAATCCCACAGCACTGAACTTGATCTTCACATCAAGCTGACAGCAAGTAAGAGGCCCATGACATGAGCAATCCCCGAGGGAAGAACGGAAGCACAGTCAATGCTGCAGCTCTTATCTACCTGGGCGGCACTGGTGCACCTCTGAGGTCAGGTCGGTGAGATTCGCCCCCACACTAGGGTCCCGGAAGGGTGAGCTGGCCGCTTCCCTCCTCTTCCCCCTCGAAGGATGTCCAATAAGCACCTGGGAATTGACTTTTCTTGGGAAAAGGGTGCTGGTAACAGCTGTCAGGGCCAAGGCAATAGTGAGAAGTTCAGTTCTCTGCTCTTTGGATGAACTGTGTAAAACATTTCTTTTAAAAGACACAATGTTAAAAATATTAAGAAAAATGTCTACAAAATCTGGAGGGCTGCCTTTTTCTCAAAGGGTAAAGCCTGTGGGGTGATGGGAAAGGAATCGAGGGCCCAGAACTACAACTCTGCAGCGAAAGATAGAGACGCCCTTGAAAATGTGTCCCATTCTTAAGACGTCTTGCCGAAGTAGCAAGAGCTGAGAGGGTGACTGTGTGAGCAGGAGCGAGAGGGCGCCAGCTCCTGCGGGGGAGGTTCCTACTGCGCGCCCCACCCTGTGCAAGAAGGTCAGGTTTTAGGGCAGTTGCCATAGGCCCCAGGGGCATCAGGACTCTGCCTCTGAACCAGAGCTGCTTTCCCGACTAACTTCAATCTGGAGAGATGGTAAGTTATCTAACCGGCTCTTCTTTTGGCGAGACTGCTCTTTCTCCTTAATCAGAGCCCCCCACGCCCTTTGCAGCTCGGAGTCGTCTTCCTCAGCGCCAGGTGCCCTGTGATCCACTTTCTTCGTATTCTTTTCTTTGGTCTTGGGTGCAGATCCTAGGCGAGTCCATAAATTACCTGTTTGGATGAGATGGCATTTCACTTTCACAGCCAGCACTAAGAACCAGGGTGGTACTGAGGGGGCAGTGGCACTGCCAACACCTGCTGTGCAGGAAACGCCATCACAGTGCAGCTTTGGGTAGGTAAAATCTCATTTCCTGGGCCGCAGCCCCTGGCCTGCAAACAGAAGGGTCTGGACCCAGCAGGGGATTCTCACCGTGGGGGACAGGTCAGGTCCCTCCCTGTCACCAGGCACATCAGAATCACCTGAGAGGCTGTTTCTTCCTACTCCTGCCCTTCCCTGCTGAGATACCACCCGGTGTGCCAATCCATTCTGCCAGGAGTAGGCCATTCCCAGCTCCTTTCCAGCTTCAACATTCTACAAATCGATGGGCCTACTATACTGTAACATTTCAGAAATTCTGCCCACCATCCATTACTTTTTGAAATATATTTCATGAAAATTGAACAACAGAGAAATATGTGTTTAGAATTTGGTGGATAGCCACATTATAAGGCAATTAAAAGTTGTTTTTGTTTTTGTTTTCGAGACAAGGTCTTGCTCTGTTGCCCAGGCTGAAGTGCGGTGGTGCTGGCACCCACCACCACGCCCGGCTAAGTTTTGTGTTTTTTTTTTTTTTTTTTTTTTTTTTGAGACGGAGTCTTGCTCTGTCACCCAGGCTGGAGTGCAGTGGCCGGATCTCAGCTCACTGCAAGCGCCGCCTCCCGGGTTCACGCCATTCTCCTGCCTCAGCCTCCCGAGTAGCTGGGACTACAGGCGCCCGCCACCGCGCCCGGCTAGTTTTTTGTTTTTTTAGAGAGACGGGGTTTCACCGTGTTAGCCAGGATGGTCTCAATCTCCTGACCTCGTGATCCGCCTGTCTCGGCCTCCCAAAGTGCTTGGGGATTACAGGCTTGAGCCACCGCGCCCGGCCAAGTTTTGTGTTTTTAGTAGAGACAGGGTTTCGCCATGTTGGTTAGGCTGGTCTCGGCCTCCCAAAGTGCTGGGATTACAGGTGTGAGCCACCGTGCTGGGCCTAAAAGTTTTATTTATAAAGTTTATAAAATGTGGCAAACAACTACGATAAAATGCTATGTGAAAAAAGTAGGACTTGTATGTGGACAAAGACCAGAATAGCTCACATAAAACTAAAAAGATTTGTGCCAAGCAGAAAGAACCAGGAGTGTGCTATTTTTTCCTATGTTCTAAGCATTCCTTACTGTTGAGATGATGCTGATGCTGATACTGATGATAACTATAATGGAAAAGGAATAATCACTTATGTTTGTCATGGGCTGTTTCTTGCCGTCTGCTCCAATACACCCATTGTGCTCTGCTCTCACTGAATCCCCATTCCCATCGGTTTTAAGTGTTACCAACCTGATTTCTTCTCCCGAGTATCGGCGTAGAGGCCTTTAATATCTTGCCTGGGAACACCGAGCCTACTATGCACATCAGAAGAGGGCTCTCTCCGAACGACTGGGTTACTACTAAAAGCCTTTTCCGGAGAATATGGTCTTTTTCCTAATCGCTGGCGTATATCTGAAAAAAGAGAAGAATTGCACCAGTGACCATGTGTGTGCTTTATGCTCAGAACCAGCCGCCTGAGACCTCTACAGGATCTGGCACTAACCCCTGCCCTGCCCCCCAAGTGAGGACACAGGACCTGACAATCAGGCTGCTACGTAGTCTTCCTTTGTAGTCAGTATGGATATCCCTAGGAAAATTCGGACATAGGGGCTGTCAGAGGAAAAATCCTCAACTGACTGCTCCAGAACTAAATTTCTGAAGAAACAACCATTTTTTTTAAAAAGCAGAATCAAGCAGACTAAATAATTTACAAAAGTTTCAGCAAACAAAAAATCCCGTGAGCTCCCGGAAAGCGGAAGGCACAATCTTTGAACATATAAGTAGTTTCCAATAAACGTATTACATTTACCCAGTAAATACAAAGAGACTGGAAAAAGCAAAGGATCCCTCAATCCCCCCAGAAATCTGCCTGTCCTCTGGGGTTCCCTCTCACAACGACAGCAACAACAGAAACACACTCATTGGCAAGGCCCTGTGCCGAGGCCTCCTCTCACTTTAGCTTCTCTCGGAGAGCAGCACCCTGGTCTCTCCGGTCACTGAGGCCTGAGCTCCTTTCCTCCAACGCTTCCTAGCACTGAGTCTTCCTTCACAAGACTTCCTGTTCTTTATCCATTCTGTCTCCACCGACCTAGTTCAGGCTCGTTACTTTTTTAACTCTCTACCCCACCCCACTCCACTCTCAAGTTATCTTTCTAAAACAGATATAAGATCAGGTTACTTCCCACGTAAAAAAAAATCAGGTTTGCCAACAGAGATCCTACCCTCCCCAAAGCCTGGCTCTAACGCTACTTTCACTGAGAAACCTTTCGCAACTTCCCTAGTAGATCTATGGTGGCTCTGCGTCTCCTCCAAAGGCTTCTGACATTCCTAGCACCTAGCCCAGGGTCTGGCACATAGCAGATACGGCTGAAGACCTGCGGAATCAGTGTTTGAACATACAAATGATCTAGTTCAAACTCTTAACCATTCAGACAACCACCCAACTTAATTTCTATTATTCCTGGATATAAAGTATACCAGTGTCATAGAGTCAAATATGGTCGGCCCTCCTCATCCAGGGGTTCCACATCTATAGATTCAACCAACTGCTGATTGAATACATTTGGGGGAAAAAAATAAAACATAACAGTACAGCAAAAAATAATACAAATTTTACAAAATACAGGATAAGAATTTATACTGTATTAGGTATTATAAATAATCTAGAGATGACTTAAAAGTATATGAGAAGATGTGTGTAGGTTATATACAGATAATATGTCACTTTATATGAGGGACTTAAGCATCAATGGATTTTGGTATCTGCAGATTTTGGTATCTGTAGGGGAGCGGGGAGGGGGTCCTCGAAGCAATCCCCCAGAGATACCAAGGAATAACTAATTATTTGGAATGAAAATATTTAAAGCTAGTTTTTCAGAAGTCTGATTATTTTTCATCTCCTAAATTTCCAACACCTAGCCCACAATTTAGACGTGATGAACCAGGACAGCTAAATCAGTTCACAGATCGCATGTTTTACTCAGGGACCTATCTCTGCCCCAGTCTGCTTTCTGGAGCTCAGAATCCAGCCAGGAATCCAAGAGAAGAACAGCACCTGATTTAGTACTGCTGACTGGTGGCCGCGGACGGGAGTGCTGACGCTTCTCATCTAGTAGATGTCGGACATCTGCAAATTTCTCAGGTGGTAATTTGTTACCAATTCGGTTTTTGATATTGCTTGAAGATACACTATCTGCCCTCATGGAGTTCCTTTAAAAAGGGGGTAGGATGGGGCACAGTTAACCAACTTCAACTGTGAGACAAGGCCCAAACAACAATCTCATACTTTGGAGGAAACAATTTAAGAAATCCAGTCTAATATGGCCAACATTCACTTACAAATCCATAAACTTATAATTATTTGCTTATGGAAACCATGATCTGCCCGCTCTAAAGAGACTGGTCCGAGTAAGCAGGTTTTCGAAGGTGGTTTCCACACGTGTATGTGCTATCACAGAGCACGTAACTACAATCCCCCTCTTCCGGGACAAATGTTAAGTAGAGGCCTACAAAGGGATTGGGGCTTCCACTCACACATGCTGTGATTTGGCTGTAGTCAACACACGGTATAGTCTACAGTCTCTCTCTTTAAAGGGCAGACTTCTCTTCTAAAGAGATATGATACCATGCTAGGTGCCAGCACCGTTCCAGCAGCATTCTCTACCAGAAAGTTCTCTGAAAACTAAAAATGAGAATGTGGGGCCTGGCGCAGTGGCTCATGCCTGTAATCCCAGCACTTTGGGAGGCCGAGACGGGTGGATCACGAGGTCAGGAGATCGAGACCATCCTGGCTAACACGGTGAAACCCCGTCTCTACTAAAAATACAAAAAATTAGCTGGGCGTGGTGGCGGGCGCCTGTAGTCCCAGCTACACGGGAGGCTGAGGCAGGAGAATGGCGTGAACCTGGGAGGCGGAGCTTGCAGTGAGCCCAGATTGTGCCACTGCACTCCAGCCTGGGCGACAGAGCCAAACTCTCTCAAAACAAAAAAAAGTGAACAGGCCAGGCGCGGTGGCTCATGCCTGTAATCCCAGCACTTTGGGAGGCCAAGGCGGGTGGATCACGAGGTCAGGAGATCGAGACCATCCTGGCTAACACGGTGAAACCTCATCTCTACTAAAAATACAAAAAATTAGCCAGGCGTGGGGGCGGGCGCCTGTAGTCCTAGCTACTGGGGAGGCTGAGGCAGGAGAATGGTGTGAACTCAGGAGGCGGAGCTTGCAGTGAGCCGAGATGGCACCACTGCACTCCAGCCTGGGTGACAGAACGAGACTTGTTTCAAAAAAAAAAAAGGAAAAAAAAAACCCTTCTGGAAAAAAATAAAGCAATACTTACCATCTTTTTAAACACGTATATTGTTTGTGTAATAACTAGACTTTGAGGAATTTATTTAGTTAGTGCAATTGTAAGAAAATAGAAACCTAAAGTCCATCAAAAAGTAATTGGTTAAATAAATCATAATACTTTCAAACAACAGACTACATACACTTGAAAAAAATAATGTCTACAATATGTTAAGTGAAAAATGCACAATGCAAAACTATAAATAGCATAACCTCATTTTTATAAAAAATACACTTTTATACAAATACATCTATAGTTTTTCCATGTGCCATATATATACACACACACACACACACACAAATAGCTGAAAGGTCATTCGCCAAATTGCTAACAGTAGTTACTGTGGGGAAAGAGTGGGAATACAGATGATTGTCACTGTCTAGGTTGTCTGTTGTTTTCATAACAAGACTCACTGCTTGTACAGAGGAAATATTGGAGGCGTTTATTAAACTCCTACAAGGGACTGAAATCAGAATAGATAAAAGATATAAAATTAGGAGGAATTAAGAAGTTATAATTTAAAATCAAATTTAAAGCTAGCATTGATAAAACAAAGTTTTACCTAATACTTTTCAACTGAGACTCCACTTCATCAGCATACATAGTCATTTTCATGCTTTTCTTTGGTGAAGGGGTGGAAATCATTTTCAGTTCTAGATCATAGTCCATTTCATCTGAGTCTGAGCTGCTGGCACTGGATCGTCTAGACGCACTCCGCTCCCGGGGCGGCTTGAGAGCCGGGAGCTCCTCATGGTACTCTACCACCACTCTGTCATCTGCATCCATGTCCTGGTCTTCTTCCTCCTCTTCCTCCTCCTCCTCTTCCTCCTCTTCAATGGGTTCCTCGGGAACATTCACTAGCCCTGAAGAAATTAAACCAGAAAACATTAGGAAAAGCACTAAAATTAATAAGTATGATTTTCCACTCTACATTGGTGACCTTTTTAAAAGGTGGGGTTCCCACCCCTGACATTTTATTGGAGCACTATCTATAACAGTGCCGCACGGACATTACTCTGATACTGCAACAGGAGGATGGCTAGGTAAAGTATGACGCAGCAGCCTAATCAAATACCATAAAGTCATTTAAAACACAACTGACCCTTGTTATTCACAAATTTTGTATTTGCAAATTTGCCAAATTTATTTGTAACTCCAAAATGAATACTTGCAATGCTTCCATGGTCATTTGCTGGCACGCACAGTGTGGCAAAAAAATCTGAGTCACCAGGCACACACACTCCCAGCAGAGGTCAAACAAAGCAACACTCTGCCTTCCTGTTTCATCTCATGCTGTAAACAAGCGTCTGTTTCAGTCCGACTGACGAGTGCCGCATTTTTCACACTTGTGTGCCTGCTGCTGATGTCACTGCTTAAAATGGCCCTGAGTGTTGCGCTGAAGTGCTGCCTAGCGTTCCAAGATGCGAGAGGGCACTGATGTGCCTTGTGGAAAAATACCATGTCAGGTAAGGTGTGTTCAGGCATGAGTTATAGGGCTATTGGCCGTGAACTCAACGTTAACAAATCAACAATGTATCTTAAATAAGGTGTCTTTAAAGAGAAACATATGTAAAACAAGGTTACATATTATCAACTGACAAAAATGATGTGACCAGAGGCTATGTGCATTCAGTATTTGCTAATTCAGCATTCACAGTGACTTTAGAGAACATAAGCACCATGAATAATGAAAATGGAAAAATACGATAAACGAAAGAAGTAGAATATAAAGTATATGTTCACAAGAGTTATACTACTTATTATGAAAATACACACATGGGAAAAATGTAAGATGAAATTAGTCATCATACAGGGTACTAGAAATAGGGGCAATTTGCTTTTTAATTTCCTTAATATGGAAATAAAAAGTGTATGATGAAAATATTTTAAAGTAACTAAAATTGGAAAAGTGTAACTGTGTTAACAGAAAAGTATATGTGTTATTATTATTATTTTGAGACAAGGTCTTGCTCTGTCACCCAGGTTGGAATACAGTGGCACAATCTTGGCTCACTACAGCCTTGACCTCCCAGGCTCAGGCAATCTCAGCCTCCCAGGTAGCTGGGACCACAGGCATGTGCCATCATGCCTGGTCTGGCTAATTTTTTAATTTTTTGTAAAGACAAGGTCTCACTATGTTGCCCAGGCTGGTTTCGAACTCCTGGTTTCAACTGATCCTCCTGCCTTGGCCTCCCAAAGTGCTGGGATTACAGGTGTGAGCCACTGTTCCCAGACTATGTGTATTATTAACATGTAGATCTCAAATACACAATTTTGTATATACACATTAAATAAAATGTCTAGACTTCATCCCTTTCTGTCCCCATTGCAATGATAAATGTGTGTGTATGTTATTTTGTATGCTGACTTGGCTAGTTCTATTAGGCATGTAGAAGATTCCACAGATTAGGCTCAAAACAAGAATAATTCTTTATAAAATATAATGGTTCTTTTACAATAAGCACCAAAAAAAGGAGAAAGAAACCCAGGTCATGATATCCCACTTTTCTGAGGCATTCACATGCACAAACCAACACACACAAAGCACTCAACACAGCAGCCCATTTTTAATACAGAAAAAGAACAATACAATCAGTTCATCTGATAGAATAATTTTAAAAATTGTTTTTGGCCAGGCATGGTGGCTCACGCCTGTAATCCCAGCACTTTGGGAGGCCGAAGTGGGTGGAACACAAGGTCAGGAGTTCAAGGCCAGCCTGGCCAACATGGTGAAACGCCCGTCTCTACTAAAAATACAAAAGTTAGCTGGGCATGGTGGCGCGTGCCTGTAGTCCCAGCTACTTGGGAGGCTAAGGCAGGAGAACTGCTTGAATCCAGGAGGTAGAGGCTGCAGTGAGCCGAGATCAAGCCACTGCACTCCAGCCTGGGAGACAGAGCGAGACTCCATCTTAAAAAAAAAAAATTGTTTTCATGCAGCTGCTGATATTAATAGTAGAAAAATTAGGATCTTAAGGAAAGTTATGTTTTAATTTTTCCTATGTCACATTTTGCCTTTTTTGATAGAACAGCTTTCACAAAATCATTTGACCTCTTTGGGCAACTTAAAATTAATTGTGACTTGACTTACTTTCCTATATGTTGGCAGAGGGTGAGGGCAAGGAAGAGAGGATGATAAAGTTTGGAACCTTAAAAGATTGCATTAAGAATAAAAATATGATTTCAGGAGCCAAACATGTGTCTACCCAAGAGCTGAGCAGGCAACTACCAGAATGCCGATGTTTATACGACGTCAAGCCAACGTCATCCCCAATCAGGGCTCTCTTCTTGATCACGTCCCGCTGAATACGACGGGAATGATATCTTCGCTTCCTGCAAGAATGCCAAAATAAGCACACAATCAAAAACTAATAGGAAGGACCTTGAAATCCACTATTTCTTTTTCTTTTTTTTTTTTTTTTTTTGAGACGGAGTCTCACTCTGTCACCCAGGCTGGAGTGCAGTGGCCGGATCTCAGCTCACTGCAAGCCCCGCCTCCCGGGTTCACGCCATTCTCCTGCCTCAGCCTCCCGAGTAGCTGGGACTACAGGCGCCGCCACCTCGCCCGGCTAGTTTTTTGTATTTTTTAGTAGAGACGGGGTTTCACCGTGTTAGCCAGGATGGTCTCGATCTTCTGACCTCGTGATCCACCCGTCTCAGCCTCCCAAAGTGCTGGGATTACAGGCTTGAGCCACCGCGCCCGGCCTTTTTTTTTTTTTTTTTGTGATGGAGTCTTGATCTGTCTCACAGGCTGAAGTGCAAAGGCACCGTCTCAGCTCACTGCAACCTTCGCCTCTTGGGTTCAAGCAATTCTCCTGCCTCAGCCTCCTGAGTAGGTGGCATTACAGGCGCCCAGTACCATGCAAGACTAATTTTTGTATTTTTAGTAGAGATGGGGTTTCACCATGTTGGCCAGGCTGGTCTCAAACTCCTAACCTCAGGTGATCTGCTCGCCTCGTCCTCCCAAAGTGCTGGGATTACAGGCGTGAGCCACCGCGTCCGGCCTCACTAATTCATTTCAACTACATGTTGACACAATGTTAGGTACTAACACAGATATTTTAAATGTAACTAACTAAAACTCAGCATTCCCCATCATTTACCACATTTAAGAATCTTGAATTCTTCCCTCTTGTCTTCCTCCCAGTCTACACAGGGTTTAGACATTTCACCACAGAATGCCAACTGAAGGATTAAGAAAAACTTAAATACTATTGCATTTGACGGTTTTGGGCTTACCATGAATTGCTAAGAATTCCTTTCATGCCTCCGTAATTTGGATTCCCATATTTCATGTAATACTGACTTCTTCTGGCTGCTCCAAGCTCCTTTTTGTCATCTACAAATGAATGACAATAATCACCGAGGATTTCCCGAGAGTACGAAGACAATGTTGAATTTTTTTTTAAATGTTTTCCATAGCTGGAATCAGATCAGCGCAATTTGCCAACAAAAAGTAAAAATCCACTACCAACATTCACACTCTGAGTGCCCGCTACAGCAATGCAGTGTAGAGGGGACAAAGCAAAATACAGAGATGAAGAAGGTTGAAACTGCTGTTTTGGAGCCAAATGACTTAATGGAGAAAACAAAAATAAACAATACAAGATACAAGGTTCCAAGAGGCATAAAAGAGCTTTAGGTCATTACAGGTACTCAGGAATCAAAAAGGCTTTCTCAAAATGGTGGCATTTTTGCCACCCCATGAAAGATGATATTCACTTTGGAATAACATGCCAACAACACAGAATCAGGATTAAGGAAACAGACTATATACAATTCCATGTATTTGGTAAATCATTTTTTCCAGCTTATTGTGTTCCTCAGAATGGCTTAAAAAAACAGCATAGTACTGTACATGTAGAATGTACTCAAACAGCCACTTAAATGAGTAAATGTGGTAAAGATCACATATGTCAAGTTGAAATGTCAGTTAACAGGAAAGAAAGGTGGTCAGTCGTCATCATAAATTTTTGTCCAAAGCAGTAATACAAAGGCCTTCTACAGTTCTTGGACACTCTGACTGTAAAGAACAAACCCCACTGTAAATATATCCAGTGCTGCAGGTAAACGTGACAACACAAACCAGCATGTAGAGCCCCCAACCCCCAAACCCCTCAAACCATGCCCACCAGCTCCTTGGAGAAATGGCTGATTCCACATGTGGAGCAGGTAAGATGCAAAATGAGTCTGGAAAAGCAAGATGTTTTGCTGTGCCATAAAGAAAGAAAGGGGTTCTACTGGCCAAATCCAAGACAATTTGTAAATTAAAATACTGATATCAGGCCGGGCGCGGTGGCTCACACCTGTAATCCCAGCACTTTGGGAGGCCGAGGCAGGCGGATCACAAGGTCAAGAGATCGAGGCCGGGCGCGGTGGCTCAAGCCTATAATCCCAGCACTTTGGGAGGCCGAGGTGGGTGGATCACGAGGTCAGGAAATCCAGACCACCCTGGCTAACACGGTGAAACCCCATCTCTACTAAAAATACAAAAAATTAGCTGGGCATGGTGGCAGGCGCCTGTAGTCCCAGCTACTCGGGAGGCTGAGGCAGGAGAATGGCATGAACCTGGGAGGTGGAGCTTGCAGTGAGCCGAGATCGCGCCACTGCACTCCAGCCTGGGCGACAGAGCGAGACTCCATCTCAAAAAAAAAAAAAGAGAGATCAAGACCACCCTGGCCCACATGGTGAAACCCATCTGTACTAAAAACACAAAAATTAGCTGGGCATGGTGGCGTGCACCTGCAGTCCCAGCTACTAGGGAGGCCGAGACAGGAGAATTGCTTGCACCAAGGAGGCAGAGGTTGCAGTGAGCTGAGATCGCGCCACTGCACTCTGGCCTGGCAACAGAGCGAGACTCCATCTCAAAACAAACAAAAAAATAAATAAAATAAAATACTGATATTATTGGATGATAACCCACTGAATAAAGAAGCCAGGATTCTAAACTGAGGTAAATAAACAAACAAATACGTAAAAACAGAAAGCTCTTCCGTAGAGCACCTGTCTACTAGTAAAGAAATGATACAGTCAGAAAGGCATCAACAGATACTAAAGCTACTGCATGAAGCTCCGATGAGCAACAGCTATTTACATGATTTCAAAGTATCTGCCCACCAATTTTTTATTTTATTCATTTTTTAATTTTTAAAAATAGGGATGAGGGCTATGTTGCCCAGCCTGGTCTCGAACTCCTGGGCTCAAATGATCCTCCTGCCTCAGCCTCCCAAAGTGTTGCAATTACAGGCATGCGCCACTATATCTGGCCAGCCCACCAATTTTTAAATTACAAATGGAAAAATAGTAACTTTACAGTGGAAAAACCTAGTGATGATTATCTTAACCAAGTGAATAAAGTGAACGCCCCTAGGACTGGGACGAGTAAGTATCCCAGGCCTCCTGACGTGATGCCTTGAAATGACATGACATTGCTTCTGTGGCACGACTGTCTGAAATGCACAACCCAAATTCAACCACGAGGAATCATCAGACAAACCCAAACTGAGGGACATTCTCTACAATAGTAAACCTATACTCTTGGAAAACATGGGAGGATAGAAGTAGTTCCAGCTTAAGGGGGACTAAGGAAACATTACATACTTACACACTCAGTCCTGGATGGATCCTAGACCTGGGGGCTGGGCGGGGAATATATAAAGGACATTATTGGAACAACTGACAAAATTTGAATATCGACTATGGATTAGGTAACAGTACTGTATTAATGTTAAATTTCTTGATTTTGATAAGTGTGCTATGTATAAGACAATGTTCTTGTTCTTTGGAATACATTTAGGGGGTGATGGCTTTTGTCTTCAATTAACTCTCAAATGATTGAAAAAACCAATATGTGTATATGTGTATGCATATATACACATACACATTTTAAATGCCCACCAAAAGTCACTGTGTGTAAACAGTCTTATGAGAAGGGAATTAGAACTGAATGGTACATTGGCAATGTTCAGGAGGACGTTGCTGTAATAAATAAAGTTTCATTTTAAAGTTTTCATAATTCAGATGGTAACTGGCTGAAAACATATGGGGCAAACCAGTTTTAACAGAAAATAACTCACTTTAGCCAGAAGTCACAGAAATATACAAATAGTTAATATTCACTTTTAAAATCAGAAATTCCAACTCAGGTGGCAAACAATTATTTCATAAGCACAGAATATTATAGTTCAAAAGGAACTTTGAGATTACTTGATCTAACTTCTATCCAAAAAAGAAGGATGTCATTCCATAATAACTCATTTTGATTGAAAATACGAAACAATACCAAATATCATATTTACCTTTTGTAGCAAATCTCATGAATAACCTGTTTCCTTTAGCAAGTTTGTTAGCTGGACGAAGATCGTTTCTTAACAAAGACTCCTCTTCTACCTGAGACAACGTGTCCAACTTAAGAAAGAAGAGTATTTTTAATATAAAAATTAAAGTCCTTTTGATATTTATTCAGTAGTAAAGCTACCATCAAGAAAAGCATTCTACCTTTAATACTTGCAAGCATTACAGCACTAGTTCCTCTGTAGAATTTCTAACTCAGAGGTTTCCCCTGCCCACCTTGTCTAAAAGAACAGTCTCCATCATTCTCTATCCCCTACTCTTTAGTTTTCACAGCACTCATCGCCAGCTGACACAGTGTAAGGTATCTGTGCATCAGTGTATCCTCTGTACTCCCCACTAGAGTGCAGGCTCCAAGAGGGCCAGGACTTTGTTTGACTTGAAGCTATATCCCTAGCACTTAGAATACGGTATACAATAGGTACTCAGGAAATATTTTTTAAATGAATACATGCTAATATTTTTAACAATAGTACATAATCCATTAGGAAGTATGCCATTACTTGCTGTTTCTTCATTTTACCAATTAGATAACACTTCGAAGTATTTCTCAATAAAACTATTTTCTCTTTTGTAGAAGCATGAGTACTATTCTGAGATTTCAAGGTGAATCGTTATATCCACGCGAACTTAAAGGACAAGAGCCTGGTGCACCCTCAGAAGGTCTAACGGTGAAAGCTAGAGAGCCGGGCACGGTGGCTCAAGCCTGTAATCCCAGCACTTTGGGAGGCCGAGATAGGCAGATCACAAGGTCAGGAGATCGAGACCATCCTAGCTAATACGGTGAAACCCCGTCTCTACTAAAAAATACAAAAAACTGTAATCCCAGCACTTTGGGAGGCCGAGACGGGTGGATCACGAGGTCAGGAGATCGAGACCATCCTGGTGAACACAGTGAAACCCCGTCTCTACTAAAACTACAAAAAACTAGCCAGGCGAGGTGGCGGGCGCCTGTAGTCCCAGCTACTCGGGAGGCTGAGGCAGGAGAATGGCGTGAACCCGGGAGGCGGAGCTTGCAGTGAGCTGAGATCAGGCCACTGCACTCCAGCCTGGGCGACAGAGCGAGACTCCGTCTCAAAAAAAAAAAAAAAAAAATACAAAAAACTAGCCGGGCGAGGTGGCGGGCGCCTGTAGTCCCAGCTACTCGGGAGGCTGAGGCAGGAGAATGGCGTGAACCCGGGAGGCGGAGCTTGCAGTGAGCTGAGATCCGGCCACTGCACTCCAGCCTGGGCGACAGAGCGAGACTCCGTCTCAAAAAAAAAAAAAAAAAAAAAAAAAAAAGAAAGAGAAAAAAACACAACTAAGTCTTTAAGGCTTAAATTAAAAAGACAGTAAGCAATTTTTTACAGTAACTTTCCACCTGTCTTTCCACTGTTACTAACCTCCACATCACTGGAATTCTCATCTTCAACCTCTCCTTCTTCAGCTTCATCATCCTCTGAACTGTCCTCCTGCTTGTCTAAAATGGAATGTGAAGGACAAGACGAAACAAGATAAAATATTTCATAAAATGAGATACAAGATGAACTATCTCATATAATTTTAAAAGTCCAGTATTTTCTCCTATTTCCTGATGATCTAAAGCATCATAGCTTAGTTCAGAAATGCTTGGTGATGAGATGCTACATAGAGCTCTGCTCAGAAACTCAAAGACCCACAACAGGACCGTGTAAAGAAGGACTTTCAGACCCCAGTTCCCTCCTTTGTGTTCAGTTACCTTTTTTCCTTTTCTCGGCTGACTTGTCCTCACTGGCATCCCTGCTTCTTATCTTATCCTGGGCAGGCAGGGAGCTCATATTGATAAGTGCTCGTGTGGCTGTCATTTCATCCAGCCAAACTACATTACCTAAAATAAAATGTAAAATAAGACATTACATGGCTTTGCAAATGGTAAAAGCTTCTTGAGAGTAGATTCCGCATCGCATTCATCACTACAGCCCCATCTAGCAACAGATTATCATCAGTAAATATACAAACCAACTAATGAAGAGAAACACAGACCAGGCATGGTGACTCAAGCCTGTAATCCCAGTACTTTGGGAGGGTAAGGCAGGAGATTTGCTTGAAGGGAGATCATCCTGGGCAACATAGTGACACCCTGTCTCTACAAAAAATAGAAAAATTAGCTGGGTATGGTGGCATGAGCCTGTAGTCCAGGTGCTTGGGAGGCTGAGGTGGGAGGATGGATTGAGTCCAGGATATTGAGGCTGCAGTGTGCTGAAGTCACACCACTGCACTCCAGCCTGGGTAACAGGGTGAGGCTTTGTCTCAAAAGAAATGAGAAGGCCGGGCGCGGTGGCTCAAGCCTGTAATCCCAGCACTTTGGGAGGCCGAGACGGGCGGATCACGAGGTCGGGAGATGGAGACCATCCTGGCTAACCCGGTGAAACCCAGTCTCTACTAAAAAAAAAAAAAAAAAAAAATACAAAAGAAATGAGAAGCTGAAGGAAGGGAGGGAGGGAGGGAAAGAGAGAGATGAAAGAAAGAGAAAGAAAGAAGAAAGGAAAGAAAGAAAGAAAGAAAGAAAGAAAGAAAGAAAGAAAGAAAGAAAGAAAGAAAGAAAGAAAGAAAAAGAGAGAGAGAGAGAGAGAGAGAGAGGGAGGGAGGGAGGGAGGGAGGGAGGGAGGAAGAGAAAGAGAAAGAAAGAGAGAGAGAGAAAGAGAAAAAGAGAGAGAGAGAGAGTGAGAGCGAGCGCACTCTGGGAGGCCGAACCGGGCAGATCATGAGGTCAGAAGATGGAGACCATCCTGGCTAACATGGTGAAACCCAGCCTCTACTACAAATACAAAAAATTAGCCGGACATGGTGGCAGGTGCATGTGGTCCCAGCTAATCGGGAGGCTGAGGCAGAATGGCATGAACCTGGAAGGCAGAGCTTGCAGTGAGCCAAGATGATGACACTGCATTCCAGCCTGGGCAACAGAGTGAGACTGTCAAGAAAATAAAAAAAAAGAAAAGAGAAGAAAAGGAAAGGGGGAAGGGAAGGGGGAAAGGGGAAAGGGGAAAGGGGAAAGGGGAAGGGGAAGGGGAAGGGGGAAGGGGGAAGAAGGAAGGGGAAAGGGAAAAGAGAGAGGAAAGGGAAGGGAAAAGAAAGAAAAGGATAGTAAAACCTCTCTGATGAAATAAGCCTAGAGCTGCATTTCCAAACTGGGTTCCACAAAATAAGTATTCTATGAAAAAGGGTTGTGTATATTAAAACTACTTGGGACAGAACACAGGTAGTTAAATACTGAATATTCAAGTATTAGCAGTTCTTGATGATAACTGTCAAATAAGTTTGGATTGTCCTTTACACTACCGCCCCCTACAGGAAGCCCTTTGCTGTTCCTTGTCGGGACGTGCTAAGTGATGTTCCCCCTTCCCTCTGGAAAACGTGGGTGACGGAGGTATCCCTGGGATATGGAGAATGGAGGCATGACAGCCAGTTGGCTTTGTAGCAACTAATTTAATGTGCCCCTTTAAGGAAGATAATTTAGCAAGAAAAGGGTTTTGAGAAGTCTCACAGAAAATAAACCTCTTTAACTTTGTTTAAAAGAGTATTTCTCAAACTTCTGTGTCCCCTGTATCTCAGTTTGGGAAATGAAGGTCTGAGGCTCTCACTTCTGTTACTAATGTGCCACGTGGCCTTGGCAACATGTTCCTTCCTCTGTTTCTCAGGTTCTGATAAATAACACGAGGTAGGTGAACTAAGTAATTCTGAGAGCCCCTCCAATTCTACTATGCCTTCACAGTTTTAATGACTGAGATCAGGGTTAGTAAACTATAACCCTCAAGCAAAAGTTAGCCCACCACCTGTTGTTTATTTATATTTGTGCCAGCTTTATGTAGGTATGATTAATATACAATAAACTACATACATCTACCACCTGTTTTTTGTTTTTTTGTTTTTTTTGAAATGAAGTCTTACTCTGTTGCCCAGGCTGGAGTGCAATGGCACTTTCTCGGCTCGCTGCTGCCTCTGCCTCCCGGATTCAAGCAACTCTCCTGCCTCAGCCTCCTGAATAGCTGGGATTATAGGCATGCATTGCCACATCAGGCTAATTTTTGTATTTTTAGTAGAGACGGGGTTCTGCCAGGTTGGCCAGGCTGGTCTTGAACTTCTGATCTCAAGTGATCTGCCCAAAGTGCTGGGATTACAGGAGTGAGCTACCATGCCCGGCCTACCACCTGTTTGTGTAAATAAAATTCTACCGGAAAACAGCCAGGCTCATAGTTTACGTATTATTTATAGTTGCTTTCATGCTACCACAGCAGAGCTGAGCACATGTGACAGAGACCGTTAAGCCTACAAAGCCTCAAATATCTGTATTCCAGCCCTTCATAGAAAAAGCTTTGCCGGTTCCTGATTTGGATAGTGTAAGTTAAACAGAAAGAAAAAAGGAGAAAAATGTTTCACTCAGTCATGTTTCTCCTTCAGTGAAGACACCTTCCGAAGAGAGCAGCTAAGAAAACCAGGCTGCTATCCAGGGTGCTACCTAGTAGGTCAGCCAGCTGGCAGCAAGGAAAGCCAGACTAGACGTGAGTCAAGACAAGAAGCCAGCAAAGCAGTAACAAGAGGTCAGGTCAGACTTACAGTAAGCAGACAAGTTAAAATTACAGTTGGCCCACAAGGTGGAAAGCTCATGGGTTAGGGCAAGCAGGTGATATTCTAGAACACGCAGTTCAAGGCAAGCAGAAAGGAGAGGTCTACGAGAGTGTTTAGCTCTAGGTCATTCTGCTATTCAGAATGACACTCTGTCGAGTGTGTATACTGGTCTCTCTCTAGGTCAGAGACACAGCCCTCTGAGTCACAGTACAGAAGGCAGCAACGACAAAGTCCAAGGCTCTGAAAATGCAGCCCCAAGTCTATGCAGTTGGATCCTCTCCTTTATTGGGAAAAGGTGAGTGTTAAAGGGGCCTCACTCGAGTACGGCAGATTCAGAAGCCAGTAACCCACCTCCTAGAGCCCTGGCCACCACCTCTAAGCTGACTTGGAAGACTACGGGGTATGGGCTGGCAGACTGGTAAAGGCATGCTGGGCTTCACTGCTCGACAAGTTTTTCTCTCCTGGACTAACAGCAGAAGTTAGGCATAAACAAGTAGTATGAGCCATAATCATTCATCATCTCTGATGGCAGGACCTCTTGAAAAATCATCAACAAAAGCATATTCACAGAAAACTCGGTGTACTTACAGGAGGTATCATCCAACCACTCGATGTGAGCTGGAGGATATTCTTTAAAATAGGAAAAGACATCTTGGGTGCTCATCTCATCTACTCCGCAAATATAGATTGTCTCCAGTCTCACTTTGGGAATTGCTAGAAAGACAAGACACAGAAAAGATGATAGAATTTTCCTGCCCGCAACTGCACATCCCATCCGCCCTCCTTCCTAACAGTTCAGACAGCACGAGTTTAGAAAGAAACATGCTGAGAGAAACTACAATTATTTCAAAAGAGCACGAGACACAACAGTAAGATAAACTACCTTAACTTTTATCACTGAACAACAGCATTAATTCGGAGCAGGTGTATCAGGCTCAGAAAGATCAAACAAAGGGTGTTGATAAAATACATGATACCTCTCCCCACATTAATCTGTAGCAATCAGAGCACTATCAAGCTCAACAGGAGTATTTGTTGAAGCTAACTGGCTGATTCCAAAATTTTTAAATGTATATTGAAGAGAAATGTGCAGTAGTGGAGACAATTCTGAAAGATGCTGCCCATGACTATGTCAAAGCATGAAACTAAAGAGATCCTACAAGTCAATTAAGAAAAAAAAGACAGGCCGGGCGCGGTGGCTCAAGCCTGTAATCCCAGCACTTTGGGAGGCCGAGACGGGCGGATCACAAGGTCAGGAGATCGAGACCATCCTGGCTAACACAGTGAAACCCCGTCTCTACTAAAAAATACAAAAAACTAGCCGGGCGAGCTGGCAGGCGCCTGTAATCCCAGCTGCTTGGGAGGCTGAGGCCGGAGAATGGTGTGAATCTGGGAGGTGGAGCTTGCAGTGAGCTGAGATCCAGCCACTGCACTCCAGCCTGGGCTACAGAGCGAGACTCCGTCTCAAAAAAAAAAAAAAAGAAAAAAAAGACAACCCAAAATAAAAATGGGCAAAGGACATGAGTAAGCAATTTACATAAAAGGAAATACAAAAGGCCAATAACCATGTGAGGAGATGGGCTGACCTCACTACCGATCATTAACATGCACATGAAAACAAGAGGACAGCAGTTTTCACCGACCAGATTTTACATCTCATTTTTCCCGCGTCTCTGGTACTTGAATCAAGATATCTTACATATTTTAGTGTGAAATGTTGGCAGTAAGTAGGGGAAAGAGTTACTTCCCCTGCTGGTGGGCATCGTCACTTTGAAGGGCAAACTGGAAGGGTCTATTAAAAACGTAATTCTGGCCAGGCACGGTGGCTCAAGCCTGTAATCCCAGCACTTTGCGAGGCCGAGACGGGCGGATCACGAGGTCAGGAGATCGAGACCATCCTGGCTAACACGGTGAAACCCCGTCTCTACTAAAAAATACAAAAAACTAGCCGGGCGAGGCGGCGGGCGCCTGTAGTCCCAGCTATTCGTGAGGCTGAGGCAGGAGAATGGCGTGAACCCGGGAGGTAGAGCTTGCAGTGAGCCGAGATCGCGCCACTGCACTCCAGCCTGGGCGACAGAGCGAGACTCCGTCTCAAAAAAATAATAATAAAATAAAATTTAAAGAAAGAATTTAATGGCTGTTACTCCCAAGCATGTTTTTACATGCTAGTAACAAAATTAAAAAATTTTTTCTCCCATCCTTCTTCTGTAGATATATGCTACTACTTCTATTTAAAACAAAAAAATTTTACAAATAAAAAAATGTGTTTAACAATTTTAAACACATAATAATTTTAAATCTCAAAGAGTTAAGAGATGCGTTTAACAGGAGCCCATGTGAGTGTGGCCAGAGTAACTCAGTTGAGTACTTTCCTGACAGCCCAGATTTAAAAAGATAAAGATACTGTGAAGATTTATGAATCCAGGTGGGCACTGTGGCTCATGCTTATAATCCCAGCACTTTGGGAGGCTGAGGTGGGAGGACTGCTTGAGCCCAGCAGTTCGAGAGGCCAGCCTAGGTAACACCAGGAGACCCTATCTCTACCAAAAATTTAAAAATTAGCTGAGGGTGGTGGTGTACAGCTACAGTCCCAGGTACTCAGGAGGCTGAGGTGGGATTGCTTGAGCCCAGGAGGTTGAGGCTACAAAGAGCCATGATCGCACAACCGCACTCCAGCCTGGGCAACAGAGTAAGACCTTTTCCAAAAGAAAAAACCACCGTGCTCAGCTAATTTTTTTATTTTTTGCAGAGATGGGGTTTCAGTATGTTGCCCAGGCTGGTCTTGAATTCCTGACCTCCAGTGATCCGTCTGTCTCGGTCTTCCAAAGTGCGGGATCACAGGCGTGCACCACTGCACCCAGCGCCTGCCTCTCTCTCTTTTTTTTTTTTCTTTGTATCTTTACCTGCTTCTTTTGAACAGGATTATCCATTGCCCAAGTTTTGATGTGTACGACTTCTCTAACTTAAAATAGGCATGTGAGGCTGGGTGCAGTGGCTCGTGCCCGTAATCCCGGCACCTTGGGAGGCCGAGATGAGAGGATTGCTTGAACCCAAGAGTTTGAGACCAGCCTGGGCAACATAGTGAGACCTTCTCTATTTTTTTTTAAAAAAAAAAGACATCTGAGGCCAGAAATTTTGTTCCTTATACTCTTTCCTGTTTGCTTTTAAGGTATTTCTTCACCTGTAGGTTTTTTTAATGTTGTAATGTTATGATGCCCTTGGCAATTATTTTTGTTATTTTTTTTGGTCTTTGTTTTCTATGCTAGTCTCATTTAAAATTAATGTTTTTTGTCAGATCAACACGTCTCCCTAATGTTTTCTCCCTAATCCTCGGTCTGTTTCCTCTATCATCACTCGGGGCTCTCCCTGCTTTCTGCTGCCTTCTAGGAAACCATCTCCTTACTTCCCTTAGGCTCTTTCTGTTCCAAAGTCATGGCTTTTAATTCCAAGCACCGAGAAGGCCCTTGGACTCAATCAATCTTATCCACATTCAGGCCTCTGCTCACTACTGCACTGCCAGCCACTAACAAGGACTTCCTGGGGTTCCCTGGAAAAGAGAAGGTGGCGAATTTCAGGTGAGCACAACTTGCCAAAGCACACAGGTAGGAGAGAGACAGATTACAATGAGAATGGCACGATCTGAACGACTAATGCCAGGCTATACAGTAACATGGAAATGCTGACCATGGACTGTCCAGGGAACGAAAAAAAGCAATGTGACTACAAAGGAGAAAAACAGAAGTTCACGCCCATAAGAGATTAGAAGGAAACACACGGAATATTGACAATGACTGGGTTTGGATGGTAGACTGTGAGCAACTTTTCTTCCTGTTCTATGTTCCAAATGTTCTTTGGTGAGCATGAACTGTTTGTAAAAGAGCTAATGAAGAAAAGATTAGAGTCCAGAGTGAACAGGCTCATCAAAAATGCTGACAGCAGGCTGGGCACGGTGGCTCATGCCTGTAATCCCAACACTTTGGAAGGTCGAGGTGGGCAGATCACCTGAGGTCGGGAGTTCCAGACCAGCCTGACCAACATGGAGAAACCTCGTCTCTACTAAAAATACAAAATTAACCAGGCGTTGTGGCTCATGCCTGTAATCCTAGCTACTCAGGAGGCTGAGGCAGGAGAATCGCTTGAACCCGGGAGGCGGAGGTTGCGGTGAGCCTATCATAGCATTGCACTTCAGCCTGGGCAACAAGAGTGAAACTCTGTCTAAAAAAAAAAAAAAAAAAAAATGCTGACAGCTTTCTTTTTGTGTTTATAGCAAAATCTGCTTTGGGAAGATGATGCAAAAAAAAAAAAAAAAAGGCAGAACTGTTGACCTATTTTGCTATTCTGCTAACAACTATCATTAAAGAACAGTCAAAACTCAAGTTAGGTGACAAGAGCATAAGAATTTAGATTTAAATCTTCTAGTCTAGAATTATATCCCACGTACTAACTCAAACACACAGCTACGATTTCAGAATTAGGTAGTAATCTCTAAAAAGTAGCAGGGAAGTACCTTAAAACTGTGAGAAGGGTTAATCCTGTACAGGTTTTCACAAAAAAAAAAAAAAAAGGAAAAATTCCCAAATCTCAGATTGAAAAGCTCACTGTCAGTCTCTGAAATTTTTTTTAAAAAAAAGGTTATTAGAATCCATGATCCCTTTAAAAACTAAGTCTTAAGCCAGGTGCGGTAGCTCACGCCTGTAATCCCAGTACTTTGGGAGGCTGAGATGGGAGGATCACTTGAATCTAGAAGTTCAAGACCACCCTGGGCAACACAGTGAGATCCCATCTCTAAAAAATAAATAAATAAATAACCAAATCTTTCCCACAGGAAATGACGGCAGTTCCGTAAGGAGCAAGCTCCAAGCCTGTGGATGAAACAAAAAAAGGCACACTAACCTCATTTCTTTTTTGATAGGATTACCAGGTCAAGAAATTCAGAGAATACATAGATGGGGCTCTATTTCAAGTTCATTAAGGCATGTAATCTAGTTCCTCATGACAGTAAAATGAACCGTGGGCCTTATGGTAATAGAATAAGACTTATGATAATGAAAGACACTGCCCACCCTTCAACCACTGGATGAAGAAACAGAAGCCATGTGTACACAATGGAGAGCAAGAAGCTGAGGAGTAGAGCTAGGAGCTGAAAGGTGGAGTTACGATGAAAATTCACTCAACAGACTGAAAGCAGAGGTTTGAAATCAACAGGATGTAATTTAATAGGAATACATTTAAAAGTAATTTTTTTTAAAAGTGCCTCAAGTACATGATGAGAAAGCCTGCTCTGATGGGCACCATTCCTGGGGAAAAGACCTAAGTGCTCTGGCTGCATACAGGGTGACTGCAACACTGAAATGGCGGAGACAGAGACAACGGTGAGTGACAGTCCTGCCATTCTCTCTGTGAATCCAACCATAACTGGAACGTGTATCTCGCCTCAGGAAGAACAACAGAAACTGCAAAGTGTTTAGAAAAGGCAGACCAGAAAGTCACGACACACGAAGCAAAGCTGAGCGAATGGGCAGCAAGCCTGTGCCTCTACCACCCGAAGGACTACTGGATGAAAGGCCTTCACAGTCACACAGCAACTAACAGACAGAAATTACTAGAAGGCAATGCTCAACACAAGTAAGTATCCAAAAATAAAGTTGTCTGCTTCATAAATAGTTCTCACGCCATCACTTAAGAAACATTCAGGGCCGGGCGCGGTGGCTCACGCCTGTAATCCCAGCACTTTGGGAGGCCGAGGCGGGCGGATCACAAGGTCAGGAGATCGAGACAACGGTGAAACCCCATCTCTACTAAAAATACAAAAAATTAGCCGGGCGCGGTTGTGGGCGCCTGTAGTCCCAGCTACTCGGGAGGCTGAGGCGGGAGAATGGCGTGAACCCGGGAGGCGGAGCTTGCAGTGAGCCGAGATCGCGCCACTGCACTCCAGCCTGGGTGACAGAGCGAGACTCCGTCTCAAAAAAAAAAAAAAAAAAAAAAGAAACATTCAGGCAGCGGCCAAAAGACCATTAGGAAGTTTGCTAAAAGGCCTGCAGGGCTGGGCAGAAGATTAACCTAGATGACCTCCAAGGTCTCTTCCACCCATGAAAGCTTGAATCTTGGGCATAAAGAGACCAAAGCTGTTTGACACTGAATCATTCAAACATAGCAAGTCATTCTTGATGCAGAAAAGTCTAGTGTACCACATCCCAAACTGTTTGAATGCTGGCAGAGCAGTTAGGAACACAGGTTTCAGTCCGATCAGCCTTTGAACCTCAGCCTTCCTACTTACTTAGCTGTGGGACCACAAGCAAGTTTCCCAACCTCTTAACACCTTACTTTTCTCCTCGGTGAAATGGAAATAATAAACACCTTCTCCTCACAGGGCTGTTGAAAGGGTAAGTTAATCACGTAGCAGAGTGACTGGCACATAGTAAGCACTTAACAAATGTTATCTTTTATTATTGTTGTTGGTATTAATAACAAATAACTTGAACTTGACAACTAGTGTGGATGCAGGAGTCAACATACTTATTCCAATTTCCTCACTCTCCCAAGAAGCTAGGTCACTTCAGTGATGGCTGGGAAGATGGAGAACACCAGATGATGAGAACTAACATTACCTGGGCACCTGCTGTGTGCCAAGCGCCACTCTATGAACTGGAACATTTTGTTACAGTCCCCAGCAGCCCTATAAGAATTCCTCTCATTGGCTGGGCGTGGTGGCTCACGCCTCTACTCCCAGCACTTTGGGAGGCTGGGGTGGGTGGATCACGAGGTCAGGAGTTCAAGACCTGCCTGGTCAACGTGGTGAAACCCCGTCTCTACTAAAAATATAAAAATTGGCTGGCCGTGGTGGCAGGTGCCTGTAATCCCAGCTACTGAGGAAGCTGAGGCAGGAGAATCATTTGAACCCAGGAGGCGGAGGTTGCAGTGAGCGAGATTACACCACTGCACTCCAGTCTGGGCGACAGAGCGAGACTCCTTCTCGAACAAACAAACAAAATAACAACTACCCGAGAAGATATAAAAAGAATAACTATTGGCTGGGTGCGATGGCTCACACCTGTAATCTCAGCACTTTGGGAGGCCAGGGTGAGTGGATCACAAGGTCAGGAGTTCAAGACCAGCCTGGCCAAGATGGTGAAACCCCGTCTCTACTAAAACTACAAAAATTAGCTGGGCACAGTGGTAGGTGCCTGTAATCCTAGCTACTCAGGAGGCTGAAATAGGAGAATTGCTTGAACCTGGGTGGCAGAGGTTGCAGTGAGCCGAGATCGCACCATCGCACTCCAGCCTGGGCGACAGAGAGGGGGAAAAAAACGGCTGGGCGCAGTGGCTTACACCTGTAATCCCAACACTTTGTGAGGCCAAGGTGGGTGGATCATGAGGTCAAGAGATTGAGACCATCCTGGATAACACGGTGAAACCCTGTCTCTACTAAAAAATACAAAAAATTAGCTGGTGTGGTGGCGGCGCCTGTAATTCCAGCTACTCGTGAGGCTGGGGCAGGAGAATCGCTTGAACCCAGGAGGCGGAGCTTGCAGTGAGCCGAGATCGCGCCACTGCACTCCAGCCTGGGCGACAGAGCAAGACTCTGTCTCAAAAAAAAAAGAAAAGAAAACCAGTAACTCTCCCTGGGACCTATCCAACCCCAACTAATGTAAAGTGGTCTGAGATGGGCAGCAGGGTTCCCCAGGGCTCAGGAACACTATCCTAGGCCTGCTGCCTCCTGGACAAAGAATCGATTGAAATAAGCAAGCTTCCCCAGCTGACATCCACGGCCGGCCTTACTGCCTGTTTTAGGAGTATCTTTAGAACCATGAGATTGGAGTTGTATTTTAAAAAAAATTTTTTTAGGCCGGGCGCGGTGGCTCAAGCCTGTAATCCCAGCACTTTGGGAGGCCGAGACGGGTGGATCACAAGGTCAGGAGATCGAGACCATCCTGGCTAACACGGTGAAACCCCATCTCTACTAAAAAATACAAAAAACTAGCCGGGCGAGGTGGCGGGCGCCTGTAGTCCCAGCTACTCGGGAGGCTGAGGCAGGAGAATGGCGTAAAACCTGGGAGGCGGAGCTTGCAGTGAGCTGAGATTCGGCCACTGCACTCCAGCCCGGTCAACAGAGCAAGACTCTGTCTCAAAAAAAAAAAAAAAAAAAAATTTTTTATATTAAAAGTTAACCCCAAAAGTGATCCTATTAAGGTAAGTATCGTATTTCCATTTCACAGACAAGGAGACTGAAACTAACAAGGCTCAAGAACTTGTCCTCAGTCACAAAGGAACTGAGACTAGATTCTAGGAGGCTTTCGCACCCTAAAGAGCTCCAACAAAAGTGAGAAAGCATTTCAAGTGGGTGAGCAGAGATGCTCCATGGGGGAAGTGACACCTGACCAGAGATAAGGCACGGGACAAGGAAGGGCAAATGTGCGGAGTGAAAGGCATGAGCCATATCAGAGGCAAGGCGCCTCAAGGAATGCTCTCGGGACCAGAACTCGACAGGTGTGATAAAGCTATGGTGCCCTCGAGGTAGAGTTGTCAGAGAGACACACGGGGACGCTCGTGCCTGGATGTACAGGCACATGAATGTCAAGCCTCACCGCTGTCCCTGGCCTCCACAGGACTTCTCCTCAAACAGACACCCCCGCCCACGAGGGAAGCAAGGTCGTGTTTCTGACTTGAACTGGCCATGCAGGATAAAGAGTGAAGCAGCTTCCACAGTTCAGCTCTGCGCCCACACTGCTGCGCCCCGTAGGACGGACTGAGGAGGGACACAATTTCAGTCGATAGCACCATAGCCTACATTACACAGCAACAGAGCAAAGGAGGTAAAAGCAAGGCTTTAGAGTCAAAGAAACCGGGTGTGAATCCTGACTCCACCTTTACTAGCTACATGACCCTGGGCAATTTATTAAACTTCTTTGAGGCTGCTTCCTCCTTTATAAAATAGGGATAAAAATATATTCCTCATAGAGTTGTTGTGAGCAACAAAAAAGAAAGAAAGAGGTAATGTGCTTAACAGAGTCTGGTGAAAAAGCAAGTTTACAACAAATAGCAGCTATGCTTTCATTCATTCAATGTATTTACAGAGCTTTTGCTTTTATCAACCAAACAAGGCTAGAGAAGCTCATACAATACAGGCCTTTAACATGCCGTCAGAAGGCTGCCTACTAAACCCTTTATGAACGCCCAAATTTGCAAATGCCACACAGGGAACACTTCTGCATTCATGGATTTATATTAGAGTAGATTAATAAATAAGAACATAGACTCACTAAAAAAGTAGTAATTTTTCCTTTTATGTATAAATTGCTTTAGAAAACTGTGGCAGATTACTATATATGATAACTCGGGGTGAGTTCTAGGGAGCAAAATATCCCAACAAAACACAAAGATCAAATCAAATCACAAGTCCAACGGTAAGGGCAGGCTTAAAACTCAGGGCAGGATTAGTTTAGCTTTCTCTGACAACAGGATGTTATTGAGTGGTTTATATATATCAGATATTCAGACTATCAACAGATTCAGAATTTTTTTTTTTTTAAGACAGAGTCTTGCTCTGTTGCCCAGGCTGGAGTGCAGTGGCGCAATCTCGGATCACTGCAACCTCCGGCTCCCGGGTTCAAGCAATTCTTGCGCCTCAGCCTCCCAAGTAGCTGGGATTACAAGTGCCTGCTACCACGCCCGGCTAATTTTTGTTTATTTTTAGTAGAGACGGGGCTTCACCATGTTGGCCAGGTTGGTCTCAAACTCCTGACCTCAAGAGATCCACCTGCCTTGGCCTCCCCAAGTGCTGGGATTACAGGCATGAGATACCACACCTGGCCAACAGATTCAGATTATCAATAAAAGTGTTAATGGCTTTTCCCCACCAATCTCAAAATTGCTCTAACTCCCCGAAAAGGAAGTCTCACTGTGATACACTTTCACTACATTTAAATGCAAACAAAAGTTAACACCTCGATGATAAAAGCAGAAAATGAGTAAGGGTCCTTAGAAGCACAGGTCCAAATCTCAGCTCTGCCACTAACTGGTAACTTTTTCTGGGCCCCCTCAGAAAAGACAATCTCTTTATTCTCCAGCTCTAACATCTGAGCCAGCTGACAGCATCTGAACTTTAAACAGGTGACCTCAGAAATGGAGACTTCACAGGTCCCTTCTCACAGGAGTGTTTGGATAAGGAGTGGACATGCAAGGCAAGGCAGAAGCATGAGGCGATGGCAGGGAAAAGTCGCTCTCTGGGGATATGTGGACAAATTTCCCCGAAAACACCCCATACCTTTCTTCATCATGTCTCGGTCCAAGGCTACATTTCTTTGGGCAAGATTTACTTCCGATCGAAAATGGAAGCGCTTGGCTCGCTGCTCTTTCTTTTCAATTGCTTCCTAGAAAGTACAGAAAAAGTGAAAGTAGTAAAACATGGAGAAGGCAAATTAAATCACGAATGCATCATGATGCGTCAGTGACAAACCTGAAATAAACAAGAAGAAATAAGCAACACTACACCTTGAAAAACTGTTGCAGAGACCTGGACAGTCACACTCAATGCCTGGGAGGCAGTATGTTAATATTGCTGCAATTTGCAAGCATCTCCAACCTAACACAGCCTGTCACTGTGCCTGGGACATAGTAAGAACTCAATAAGCATTTGCTGAGTGAATGAACAGTCCTTTACAGTTTATGAAGCTATATGACACTTCATTTGTTATTATCGATGATGCTAACAAATTACAACTAAACAATTTCAACATCCCCATTTTCCAGGGGCAGAAATGGAGGCACAAAAAAGCAAAAAGGTTTGCTGGAGATACTTCAGCTAGTAAGCGAGTAGATCTGATTCCAGTGCTATTTCTAGGAGCCCACCTACAACCATTTCACATTGTCTGCGGGCAACGGCAGTCACACCTGTCATGCTCTTCCACATCCTATCTGCCTAAGCAGTCCACTCCCTAAAGCTAGTCTGTTCAAAAACAACACTGAAGCAAAGAAACTCTCTCCCCCTCCAGCCTTGTGGCCATGGAATCACCAGTTTTCATCTTTATTTTTTATTTTATTTTATTTTATTTTTTTTTTTTTTTGAGACGGAGTCTGGCTGTCGCCCGGGCTGGAGTGCAGTGGCCGGATCTCAGCTCACTGCAAGCTCCGCCCCCCGGGTTTACGCCATTCTCCTGCCTCAGCCTCCCGAGTAGCTGGGACTACAGGCGCCCGCCGCCTCGCCCGGCTAGTTTTTTGTATTTTTTAGTAGAGACGGGGTTTCACCGTGTTCACCAGGATGGTCTCGATCTCCTGACCTAGTGATCCGCCCATCTCGGCCTCCCAAAGTGCTGGGATTACAGGCTTGAGCCACCGCGCCCGGCCCAGTTTTCATCTTTAAGTGGTAAGAACCATTGACACTTTACCGGCCCAGTTTTCATCTTTAAGTGGTAAGAACCATTGACACTTTACTGAAAAAATAATCAGCTTTGTAAGTTTCTTCTAAGAGCTAAAATAAACCCAGGTCCAAAGGTGGGTTTCTGATGGCTCTTAGGAACCCTTCACTAACTGGTTTTGTTTGTTTGTTTTTTGTTTTTGAGACGGAGTCTCACTCTGTCGCCAGGCTGGAGTACAGTGGCGCGATCTCGGCTCACTGCAACCTCCAACTCCCAGGTTCGAGAGATTCTCCTGCCTCAGCCTCCTGAGTAGCTGTGACTACAGGCGCCTGCCACCACACCCAGCTAATTTTTGTATTTTTAGTAGAGACAGGGTTTCGCCATGTTGGCCAGGATAGTCTCCATCTCTTGACCTCATGATCTGCCTGCCTCAGCCTCCCAAAGTGTTGGGATAACAGATGTGAGCCACGGTGCCCAGCCCCTTCATTAATTGTATATTGACTTCACCACACTATTTGAAGGTCTGACTATACAGAGCTTGTGGGGATCGGTAAAATTGTAACACTTCTGTTATTTCCCAATAGCTATGCTCATTTTCTTCACTGAAGTCCTCCTAGTACAAACAACAATTTACTTCCTTTAGAAACAAAGTACTAACTCTGAGACTACCACCCTTTTCCCATATACCTGTTTCATATAATGGCAAACGGTGTAAGATTAAGAAGAGTTTACTTTTTAAATTACAGTGAGAAAATATTTTCACTTTATTCTCTTTTCTTGTCTAAAAGATGACCAATTCTCTTTCTTATTTTTTGTTTTGTTTTGTTTTTGGCCTTTAAGTAATCGGAAACACACAGAGACACAGATAAACCATAAAAACGTTAGCTGGGCATGATGGCATCCACCTGTAGCCCCAACTACCTGGGAGGCTGAGGCAGAAGGATCAATTGAATCCAGGAGGCAGAGGTTGCAGTAAGCCGAGATCGCACCCCTGAACTCCAGCCTGGGTGACAGAGTGAGACTCTGCCTCAAAACAAAAACAAAAACAAAAACAAAAACAAACAAACAACAACAACAAAAAAACAAAAAAAGCATTATAAAAAGGTAGGCATGAAATATATTTTTAATTTCGCTTTTATGTATTCAATACAGCAATATATATTATTATTCAGAAATGTAATACAAAATTCTGTTCCAAACTTAACGTTACACATTAAAATCAGAAAAAAGGTCTAAAATGGAACATCACCGATTAAAGCAACTTACATGTATTGACTACATATAAGGAAAATAATAGGCTTGACTCTATGAGATGTTACAATGAAGGTGGTAATCTGGTAATAGCAATCATTAGATACAAGGCAATAGTCTTAAGTACTGAGAATAATTCACTTGACTTGGGCTTCATACTTTAGACAGCCAGGCAATCAGGAAGTCCTCTTTTTCTGGGTCTACAGCTAATGAGGAATAAAGATTGTTAAGGGCCTACTATGCTGGGCGTGGTGGCTCACGCCTGGAATCCCAGCACTTCAGGAGGCTGAGGCAGGTGGATCACCTGAGGTCAGGAATTCGAGACCAGCCTGATCAATATGGTGAAACCCCATCTCTACTAAAATTACAAAAATTAGCCAGACGTGGTGGTGTGCTCCTGTCGTCCCAGCGACTCAGGAGGCTGAGGCAGGAGAATCGCTGGAACCCAGGAGGGGGAGGTTGCAGTGAGCCTAGATCGTACCACTGTATTCCAGCCTGGGCAACAGAGCGAGACTCCATCTGAAAAAAAAAGAAAAAGGAAAAAGGGGGGCTGCCTACTATGTGCCAGGCGCTTTTCATATTTTGTTTCATTTCAAGTGGAAACAGTACATATTTTTTTTTAGAAATGGACATACCATTTAAAAAAGCATTCCCAATCCTGGACATTTTCTTAGAAATGGTTCAACACAGTTATCTAGGTAGAGTGATTTTATCTTTTCATGGCTGTAAGAACACACAAATGCTGCCTGCACCGTTTCAGGATGCATGAAGACATCGTTGTATAACACAAACTTTTTTTTGTTGTCCATGCTGGAATGCAGTCGCATGATTTCAGCTCACTGCAGCCTCAACCTGGCAGGCTCAAGTGATCCTCCCACCTCAGCCTCCCGAGTAGCTGGGACTACAGACCTGCACTACCACACCCAGCTAATTTCTGTATCTTTTGTAGAGACGGGTCTCACTATGTTGCCCAGGCTGGTCTCGAACTCCTGGTCTTAAATGACCTACTTGCTGGGCCTCTCAAAGTGCTAGGATTACAGGCATGAGCCAGTGTGCCCGGCCAATAACACCATTTTTTTTTTTAGAAAGAAAATTTAAATCCAGCAACAAAAGAAAAGAGGAAATATTTACTGTTAAGTCCTAGGGATCAAGTTCATTAAGTTCACTTGCTTATCAAGCGAATAAATAAATCATAGCCTGTCTTACCTTGGAGGTGACATCAATTCCAGTGATGAAGCTGCCAGCCTTGTTTTCGTATCTTCTGCTCGTGTCCTAACACAAAGGGGAAGGGTGAGAAATTCAGACAGCAATTGAGGAAAAACCTATGATAAAAGTCGGGCTGACAGCTGGTTCTTCTTTTTTATTTTTTTTTCATTTTTATTTTTTTGTGACAGTGTCTCGCTCTGTTGACCAGGCTGGAGTGCAGTAGAATGATCACAGCTCACTGCAGCCTCGACTCCCCAGGCTCAAGCCATCCTCCCACCTCAGCTTCCCCAGTAGCTGGGCCCTCAGGAATATGCCACCACACCCAGCTCATTTTTTTTTTAATTTTTGTAGAGACAGGGTCTCCCTATGTTGCCCAGGCTGGTCTCCAACTCCTGGGCTAAAGCAGTCCTCCTGCCTCAATCTCCCAAAGTGTTAGGATTACATGCATGAGCCACCACCCAGAGTCTGGTTCTTTTTGTTTATGTGTTTGTGTTTTGAGATGGAGTCTTGCTCTATCACCTAGGCTGGAAGGCAGTGGTGCAAACTCGGCTCACTGCAACTGCTACCTCCCGGGTTCCAGTGATGCTCCTGCCTCAGCCTCCTGAGTAGCTGGGATTACAGGTGTGCGCCACCATGGCCAGCTAATTTTTGTATTTTTAGTAGAGACGAGGTTTCACCATGTCGGCCGGCTGGTCTCAAACTCCTGACCTCAGGTGATCTGTCTGTCTCAGCCTGCCAAAGTGCTGGGATTACAAGCATGAGCCACCGCACCTGGCCAGTCTGGTTCTTTTTGAAGAGTCATTCTTTTCAAAACCCTTCCCCACCCCTGACAACCTTTTATTAAGAAGCCCCATCCCAGTGATTCCATGGTATCAATCAACCACTCCAATAAGAAGAGCAGAGCCTGTCCAAAACCTGAAGTGATTCCATCAACTGAAAGTATCCATGTACAGAAAAATCTAAAGGCTTTTGTGGAAAATGTCAAAAGATGAAGCACAGTCACTTAGCTCCCCAACCTAGTCTGAACGAATTCCCCATGCCCAGCCACCAGGTGGAGCCCAACCCTCCACCTCAATGCAGAAGTCCAGCCTCACCTAGAATTCCTGAGGCAAATACAGCACAGTGCAATGCAAAGGGGATGGGATTTGGAAACCAAGCGAGGACGGAAGCCTCAGCTCTGACGGTCACTAATTACAGGACACTGTATAGTTTCCTTGACCTCTCTGGGTCCCAGTTTCCTGCGTGGTATCTACCTGCCTTCCTGACCTCTTTTACTGCCCTTCCATTAGCGCTACAGAACTTTGCAACGATCCTGGACCCACCCCAGACCCTCTGTGCTTGCTATTGCCCCGGCTGGGGGAACCCCTTTTCAGTCTTCACAAGGTTGGCTCCTTTTTGTCATTGAGAGTTTATATGGAGCATACACTCCAGCAGGGAGGTTGATCTTGATCAAGCACCTAGGGCTGTGTCTTGGTACATAGTGGGGGATGCAATAAATACATGTTGGCCAGGCACGGTGGCTCATGCCTGTAATCCCAGCACTCTGGGAGGCAGAGGCGGGAGGATCACCTGAGGTCAGGAGTTCGAGACCAGCCCGGCCAACATGGAGAAATCCTGTCTCTACTAAAAATACAAGATTAGCCGGACATGGTGGCACACCCCCGTAATTTCAGCTACTTGGGAGGATGAGGCAGGAGAATCACTTGAACCCAGGAGGTGGAGGTTGTGGTAAACCGAGATCGCACCATTGGGCTCAGCTACTCAGGAGGCTGAGGCAGGAGAATCGCTTGAACCCGGGAGGCAGAGGTTGCGGTGAGCTGAGATTGCGCCATTGCGCTCCAGCCTGGGTAACAAGAGCGAAACTCCATCTCAAAACAAAACAAAAACCATGTTGAACTGAATGACTGAAAGGATGATAACACCTACTTCACAACTGCAGTGATACTTATTTTGGTTTTGTTTTGTTTTTGAGATGGGGAGAAGCGAAAGGAGGGACCTCGAAGGGGTGTTGCTATATTACTGAGGCTGGTCTGGAACTTAGACTACTGAACAGCTGGCACTAAAGGTGTGCATGGCCAGTATATTTAAGTGACACAATGTAGTGAATGGTAAATGCTAATATATTAGCTGTTGTTAATCATAATCAATAACGTTTGCCATCTCTAGCGATCATACCTTAACCTTTCTCCATAACTTCAGTCTAAATATGTTGACATGTGGTGAAAAGTAGTTCATATTAAGTTAGAAATTAAGAGGAGTCATCCAGGCCTCAAATCAGCTCTAAGAACTGGATCTACAGCCACCAAGTCACAAGCAAAACACCTCACCATCCCCAGCGCGGTAAATGAGGGATCAAGGGCGTCTATTGATCGTTTGCTAGTTTACTTTCATTAAGAGTGAGATGCTGGGGCCACGGTGTAGGTGCCAGTGGAGCTGCGGCGGGGGGGGGGGGGGGGGGGGCGGGTGGCGCAAGATGACCCTGAAGTCACGACAGAAACAGTGAGTTTCTGCTGCTGACAAGTGCAGCCCTCCCAAGAGAAAGAGCGAGTGCCATGTTTCACAGATACAAATTCCTCCGGGGCAAGACCCACAGGAGAGACCTGGTTGCTGGCGCCACCCAACAGCTCCTTCTGGGCTGCTCCCGGTTCTGTTCCCGCCCAGAGCTCCCCCTTTATCTCAGCCCTCCAGACACTCCTCACTCACCCCTTTGCACAGCACGGCTCAGAGGGGGCAGCGGAGGGGGGTCCTCAACTCTCTCCCAGCTCTCCACCACCCCCTCCAGCCCCCTCAACACCCATTTCCGGCGCACCGGCGTCCTTTCTCCCGCTCCGCGTCCCTCCTCCAGCCCGGCGCCCTCGTCCCCAGGACGCTGGCTCCCTTCTCTCCCGCTCCCCAGACTTCCCCGGCTGGGGCTCCAGCCACCGCCCCTTCCGGCCCCCTCCGGCGCTGGGCACTAGCCCCGCGACCTCCTCCTTGCCCCCCGACCCCCGCCCGTACCGGGATCAGTTCCTTGAGCGAGCGCCGCACGGGCACGATTTCCAGCTCGCCCTCCTCCACCTCCATGGGCTCCGGCTCGCCACGGTCAACACCCGACTCCGCCTCAGGGGACGGGAGCCCCAGGTCTGGCCCCGCCGGGGCCTCCGCCTTCACCGACACCCGCAGGCCCCGTACGGCCGCCATAGCTGCCTGCCGGCCGCACCACCGAGAGCCCGCCCCTTACGGCCGCCGGCTAGAGCGCCGCAGCCACTGGCCACAGAGGAGCCGCCGCAGCTACCTAGAGCGTCGCCGGCTTCGGCCAGAAGGCCGCCCTCAGCGCCGCCGCCCCCTGGTGGCGGGAGGAACCCGGGCGTGCTGCGCGGGCGGGACCTGGGGAGGAGAAGGCGGGACTGAGCGGGGACGGGGGCGGGGCCTGCGGGAGCGACGGAGCTTGGAGGAGACCGGGGTAGTCAAGGGTTACAATGTAGCTACGCCTTGAGGCTAAACCTGTACTAAAAGCCACCTTTACTGAGCGATCACCATGGGCCAGACACTTCCAAGCGCTCGAACCCTTAGAACAACTCTATGAAGTAGATCCCATTATGACCCCCATTTCATATATGAGGAAACTGAGGTATAGAAATTGATCCGAGGTGACGCCATTTAAGGGATAAAAGCTGGATCTAAGTCTTCCAGAGTTTACGATGAGCCTTGATATATCACCTCTGGGCAATCTGTAGGTTTATAACGTTACTTGCCTTGCCTGCCTTTGTCTCTTAAAAGTCTCCCCAAAATTGGCCCATGTTACATACACAAAATTTGAGACCTGCCCAAAGGCCAGAACTTGGACACTGATTTCCTGACTCCTGAGGCTGCCATCCACTGTAGACCTGTTTCCTGCGGATACTTCTAGCCTAGTGGGGGAGAGGGGTTGTCTAGGCATCCCGAGGGTGTCACTGATCAGCTGTTAGGTTCTGAGTCCTGATTTTCTTTCTCTCTTTCTTTCTTTCTTTCTTCCTTTCTTCCTTTCTTTTTTCTTCCTTCCTTCCTTCCTTTCTTCTCTTTCTTTTCTTCATTTCTCTTTTTCTTCCTTCCTCTCTTTTCTTTCTTACTTTCTTTTCTTTCTTTCTTTCCTTCTTTCTTTCTTTCTCTTTCTTTCTTATTTTTTGCAGAGACAGACTTTCACCATGTTAGCTAAGCTGATCTCGAACTCCTAACCTTAAGCCATCCACCCACCTCGGCCTCCCAAAGTCCTGGGATTACAGGCGTGAGCCGCTGCGCCTGGCCTGAGTCCTGATTTTGCGTCTTCCTCCCTGGGTAGCTTTGGACAGGTTTTTGGGTCTGTTTTCGCATCTGAGGAGGGCGTAGGTGAGACCCTGCAGTCTCTGAGGCCCTGCCAGCGCTAACCATGGAGGAGCAAATAATGATAAACTAAGGAAGACCATGGTCCGCATCGGACACACCTGGGTTTCGAGCTGGCTGGCCCTGCCCCATCCACCATGTGTGACCTTAGGCAAGCTGCTTAGCACTTTGGAGTCTCAGTTCCTTCATCAGTAAAATGGACCATTACCTACCTCCAAAGGAGGTTGTGAGGATTAAATGTGATAATTTATATGTAGATACAGGGTCTAACAGAAGGGATGGTTTTTCTTAATTTTGGGCTACATCATAGTTTTTCTTAAATTTGGGCTAAATCGTAGGATAAACACAAGACACAGCTCTTTAGAGGACTAGTTTTTTTTGTTTTTTTGTTTTTTTTTTTGAGACGGAGTCTCGCTCTGTCGCCCAGGCTGGCAGGCTGGAGTGCAGTGGCGCGATCTCGGCTCACTGCAAGCTCCGCCTCCTGGGTTTACGCCATTCTCCTGCCTCAGCCTCCTGAGTAGCTGGGACCACAGGCGCCCGCCACCGCGCCCGGCTAATTTTTGTATTTTTAGTAGAGACGGGTTTCACCGTGGTCTCGATCTCCTGACCTTGTGATCCGCCCGCCTCGGCCTCCCAAAGTGCTGGGATTACAGGCGTGAGCCACCGCGCCCGGCTAGAGGACTAGTTTTATTTGATGAATGGGATACAAAGTAGTTTTAAAAATCGGGTTGAGGCCGGGCATGGTGGCTCATGCCCGAATCCCAACACTTTGGGAGGCCAAGGCAGGCAGATCACAAGGTCAGGAGATTGAGACCATCCTGGCTAACATGGTGAAACCCCATCTCTACTAAAAAAATAAAGTAAAATAGCTGGGTGTAGTGGCATGCACTGCTCGGGAGGCTGAGGCAGGAGAATCACTTGAACCCAGGAGGTGGAGGTTGCAGTGAGCTGACATCGCACCGCTGCACTCCAGACTGAGCGACAGAGCAAGACTCTGTCTCCAAAATAAATTTTAAAAAATTGGGTTGAATGCATACATAGAATGCATGTCTGTGTGTGTGTGTGTGTGTGTGTGTGTGTGTGTGTTATTTTGAGCAAAATGTGTAGTTGGGGTGGCCAGCTATAGGTGACAGTCACAGCTCTCACCATTACTAGGTCTGTGGGGTGAGGGGATGGGAGAGGAAGGCTGGGCAGGCCCTTCTCCCTGCTGGGGAGGAGCCTTGTTGCTTGAGGACTCAATTCAGTGAGGATTCAGTGTTGCAGTTTGGTGCCATTCAGAAGAGCCCCAGCACCCTGGCACACCAGCTGGCAGGTACATGAGGAGTCCAGGACAAGCCGGGACATCGGGCAATCATCAAGGCTCCTAGCACTTGTCAGGAAAGCCCTCTGTGCCTTGTTCTTTTTGGTCACCTTGCTCACCGTCTCCCACCCCCTTTCCTATTCGCGGTGCCGCCCTGCTGAGTTGGAGCCACAGAGAATTTAGGAAGGTGGTAAAGCCTAATTTTCAAAAAGTTAAAAAACGTGACTCTCAAACAGATGTCAAATGAACACATGTCAAAGCTGTTATCCAGTCGTTAGTAGATGGGGAAACCGGTAGAAACGTGAAGAATAGTTTGAAGGGGAACCTGAATGAATATGTAATTGGTCAGTCAAAGGAATGCTGAGATTAATTCGACAAGGCAAGTTAACGTCCTATAAGGCAAGAAACTAGAATCTCCAGGATTCCCTTTACCACCAGACAGAAAACATTTGCATTACTACTGGACAGGAATTATTTACTCGTTATGAATTTCCTTTTCTTTTTTTTTTGAGACAGAGTCTCGCTCTGTCTCCCAGGCTGGAGTGCAGTGGTGCAACCTCGGCTCACTGCAAGCTCCACCTCCTGGGTTCACACCATTCTCCTGCCTCAGCCTCCCAAGTAGCTGGGACTACAAGGCACCCGCCACCACGCCCGGCTAATTTTTTTTTTTTTTTTTGTATTTTTAGTAGAGACAGGGTTTCACCGTGTTAACCAGGATGGTCTCAATCTCCTGACCTCCTGATCCGCCCGCCTCGGCCTCCCAAAGTGCTGGGATTACAGGCATGAGCCACCGTGCCCGGCCACTTGTTATGAATTTTCTATAAACCACTACTCTCAGTTGTAAAATACCCTAATCAATAGTGCATAAGAAGTCAGACAAAGCTATACATCTGTAGAGAATCAGATGGTTCCCCAGGCAGATAACACCTGGCACAGTACCAAGAGGGCACTTTCCTTTTTCCTATTTCCAAAGCCTGGATACATATTTTTTTTAGCTGGAGTCTCACTTTGTTGCCCAGACTGGAGTGCAGTGGCATGAGCTTGGCTCACTGCAGCCTCCGCCTCCAGAGTTTTAAGCAACTCTCTGCCTCAGCCTCCTGAGTAGCTGGGATTACAGGTATGTGCCACCACGCCAGGCGATTCTGTATTTTTAGTAGAGATGGGTTTTCGCCATCTTGGCCAGGCTGGTCTTGAACTACTGACCTCATGATCCACCTGCCTCAGCCTCCCAAAGTGCTGGGATTACATGAGCCACCACACCCGGAAATAATTTTTAATTAACAGAGAAAATCAGGAGAACAGGACATTGGGACAGACCAGAAAGAGAGTTTTAAGAAAGGAGTGAGCAAGTGTCATATTCAGCCATAAGTTCACGATGGAACTTGGTTTGGGTCTAGAGGTTTGTTGGTCATTGGTGACTTTGAGGAGAGCAGAGTCCATGAAGGGGAAGGCGCATTAGTGGGGAGATTTGAGGCAGTGTACACAACTCTCAGGAGAAGTTTATGAAGAGTAGGCTAGAGGGCAGGGAGGATATTAACAGGATCTTCTAAAAGGTTCCTTTCCTGTGATTTCTTTCATTGAAACTGGTCACTCTGGCCAGGTGCGGTGGCTCACACCTGTAATCCCAGCACTTTGGGAGGCCGAGGTGGGAGGATCACGAGGTCAGGAGATCGAGACCATGGTGAAACCCTGTCTGTACTAAAAGTACAAAAAATTAGCTGGGTGTGGTGGCACGCACCTGTAGTCCCAGCTACTCAGGAGGCTGAGGCAGGAGAATGGTGTGAACCCAGGAGGCGGAGCTTGCAGTGAGCTAAGATGATTCCACTGCACTCCAGCCTGGGTGACACAGTGAGACTCCATCTCAAAAAAAAAAAAAGAAAGAAAGAAATTGGTCACTCCCTCTATTTTTTATTTATTTATTTGTTTATTTATTTATTGAGACAGAGTCTCACTCTGTCACCCAGGCTGGAGTGCAATGGCGTGATCTCAACTCACTGAAACCTCCGCCTCCCAGGTTCAAGCGAGTCTCCTGCCTCAGCCTCCTGAGCAGCTGGGATTACAGGCACGTGCCACCACGCCCGGCTAATTTTTGTATTTTTAGTAGAGATGGGGTTTCACCATGTTGCCCAGGCTGGTCTTGAACTCCTGGGCTCAAGAAATCTTCCTGCCTTAGCCTCCCAAAGTGCTGGGATTATAACTGTGAACCACCATGCCCAGCCCTCTCCCTCTGCTTATTCCTTTCCTTTCTTACCCAGCAAGGAGGGGAATAAAAATAACGGAATCCTACTTCTCCTGGAGGGGCACAGGGAAAAGCCATGGAAAGGTCATGTGAGCTCCTCAGGTGAAATCAGATGTTCCCTGAGGGCTGGTAACCTGGTGCACTGGCCTGAGCTCATGCCCCGCTGATTGAAGCAGGGATGTTCTTTTTTTTTTTTTTTTTTTTTTTTTTTTTTTTTTTTGAGACAGAGTCTTGCTCTGTCGCCCAGGCCGGAGTGCAGCGGTGCAATCTCTGCTCACTGCAAGCTCCGCCTACCAGGTTCACGCCATTCTCCTGCCTCAGCCTCCCAAGTAGCTGGGACTACAGGCAC